GTCATAAATAAATAAAAACGATGGGTTGCACTCCGGGAGTGCCGGCAGATGTGAAAACTTGAATATTAACGTTGTGCATTTTTGATATTTTGGAATGGCTAGGGAATAATTTTGCACGAACTGCTTTAATTATTAGTGTAAAAATACTATCATTTATGTGGTAGAATACAATATTTATTTATTATGCTATCGTACACACATGTTTGTGTGTACAATTTATATTACATTAAATACGCCCCGCCAGCTGTCTACTCTCCATCCGTCTTACGAATTTTCGATCAGGTCACGTATCCTGACGCGAGCTTAAATTTTTTTACCCATTCCCAAAAAAAGTGTTCAACGCCGCTGAAAAGAAGTTTTCACTTCAAAAACAGGTAAAGCTAAGAACAAGGGTTGTAACACCACTTTTTTACTTTGTTTACGTACGATCGACGACAAAAAAAAATTTATAAAATTCAAATTGATAAAGGTTTTTCTATGATGTAAATCACTAATGTAATATGTAAATAAGTTATTTAAAAAAGCGATCGCGTACAACATAAATAAAATGATCCACTGACTTGTTTATCATGGATATTTAAATTTCCTTTTATTTTTAAGTTTACTTATATCCGTTTTAACACACATTCACATCATTACAACCACAAGTAAGCTCCTCTCTAAGATCGCCAATTTAAAATAATGAAACGGATGCGAAAACGTCTGCCATATGACATTACTGATGTCAATCAATCTGTCGAATAAATTCTTGGAAAATGCAAGAAAAATAATTTTTATTTATTTTCAGATGATTTAATCGATGAATTGGAATCGCCAGACTTTATGGATCACTTGAGAGAAATGCAAACAGCCAGAACCGATGAGTCCAAGCGACACACTGATAATTACAACGAGGTTATTATTGGAATGCCCGGATCCTTTAGGACTCTAAGTGTCGATTAAATTGATATAGATTCTCTCATTTTGGATCATTACAATTATAGTTGTTAAGAATAATTTTAACCAACTTCGGCCTCGACATTCATGCTGCTCTTCTAAAACCACACTTTACTTTTTTCTCTTTATATGATTATAATAGTCTGTTAATAAAAAAAATGGTGAGTGTACTTATGTACGCGCGTAAGAAGTTATACTTCTTTGGCTTTCTTTATTTTTTTTAAATATTAAATAATTAATAATAAATATTTAGGGTTAATAATTTAACAATGTTTAATATTTAGTATATTAGTCAATTATTAATTAATATTAAAAATAATTATTTTTTATTATTTTATTATATTATTAATTCAATTTAATAACTAGGTAGGTTTCATAACCTTTTAACTAAGTGACAATAGGTCTTTGTGAAAAAGCATTGGTAAATTTTTTTGAAAAAATAATTAAAACTCCTTTATTTGTTTAAAAGGTACAAATGTCATTATGGTCATTCAAAATTCTTGGCATAGCTGCTAACGTCACGCATATTCTATTTCTTTTTACTTGTAGATTGTCTTATTCCCATCTCGCTCGCGCACGCTCGGCGCCCATACTGATAATTTTGTGTCACGGTGCGCGCGCATCGTAAAATTTCACTCTCATACATTTTTCATGACGCGCCTAAAGAAGTATAACTTCAAAAATTAGGAATTTTTCTATTGTTTTTTATTCAGTTTAGTATTCTTAGACATTCTAATCGCTTAAACGGTACAAAATATAGGACAAATAATGATTCCCGTATGTTAAATTCCTGTTGATTTTTTAAATATGTACAAGGGTCATCATCAAATGTTAATATGATATTACAGATCTTTGTTACTAAAAATGTTTAGAAAATGAAAAACGGCTTAATGTAGAAAGTTGCCAATACTTTTATGGTTTTCGAAGTAATCTTCGTTCCTCTCTACACATCGTCGCATTCGATGGAACCACTGAGAAAAGCAGTGGGCCCATTCTTCCTTAGGGGTGTCTTCTATGGCATTTTCACCGCATCTTCAGGGCACGTAAAGCTGATTGTCTTTTGGTTTCGGGTTCGTTGCAATATATTCAGCTTTCATCACCTGTCGATGTCAAATACAGCATTTGAGTCACCGCCGTTGAATTTATCTAACATTCGGCGACACCAGTCCATGCGAAGGTGTTTCTGGTCGTCGGTTAAAGTATGGGGAATCCATTTGGTACAAAGCTTCCTGACGCCTAGATGTTCGTGTAATATTTTTTGAACTTGACTAATACCAATGCCTAGGCTTGCCCGTATCTGCTGATAGGTCACTTTCTTATCTTCCTCTATTATGCTTCGCACAGGGCAAATGTTATCTTCAGTAGTCGCTGTTAAAAGACGTCCCTTACGCGGATCATCATTGAGATTGCTACGTTCACGCTGCAACTCGTAAAACCAATTGTAAATAGTGGCACGAGAAGGGAAGCCCCTAAAAAATGCTAATTGCAGCCTATCATAGCTTTGTTGTTCAGTAAGCCCACAACGAAAGTCATAATAAATCATTTTCACGTGTAGGTAACAAGTTTTAGATTTGCCGTCAATTCACAAAAACAAATGACTAAGTTTCTAACTGACCTGTTCTAAACATTTTCAGTGTAACCCACGTAGTTTACGAAGTCTCGACTCCTAATCTGAACCTATGGTCAATGTTGGCGCCAATCAACATAAAAGACACTTAAGCGCCTTAAAGTTTTTCACCTCTTAATAACATCATTTCAACGTCCTTGTTGCCTCATTAAAAGAAGGAAAAAAATATTTACATAAATATGTACATGTACAATTTACGATTTTTATATTCGTCTAAGATACAACCCTTAAATAAGATAATTGAGGGCAAATTCGGAACAGCGGAAAATCTCGCGAAAATACCTTTTGGAACCCGAGGTCTTTTGGTCATTAGTGAAACTTAAAGTAACTTTTGTCAGGCATGGGACACTTCTATCGAAACTACAGTTATACGGTTTCCTCGATGGATTATGCCGAAGGATGGTTTAATTTCTTGTAGGTCGAAGCAATAAAATAGTTGACGAAGGTTCCGCAAGGTTGTGTTCTCTCATCCATCCGGTTCGTTCTGCATATAAATGACCTGTTGCTCATCGACAACATAATTGCTATGCAAACGACAGCACCATCGACAGATTTTATTCCAGCCACCCCAACATATCTTGATATTAAGTCAATGAAAGCTATAACAAAGTTGTTTCTAAAACGATACTGAAGAAAGTTTCTGATACGATACTGAAGTAATAGAACCCTACAAAGACTCACTTAGTTTGTTGGTTTTCTGCCAAGAAAGATCCTGCTAACATCTCTAGGTTGGAGCGCCCAAATACCAGTTTCATCCCTTTGACCATATTCAGCGAAGGGCTTGTCGAATTGTCAACAATTGGTTGAAGGAGGGCACTTTGTTGAACGGCTGTTGCCTCAGCAGCTTTGCTTCTATATGTTTTTGCGTTTGTGTAGGTTATGGCCTTCTTTTTCTCATTTTTTACCCCTCCCACTGGTCAATGCTCTTCCTGACACCGGCGACCACTACGGATGTCTGCGCACTAAGCCTCCACGGTGGTCGCGGGGTGTGGTTTTGTCGGTGTGCGCAACCCAAACATTTTTTTTCAATCTTGCTACAGTTTCGCTAGGCCTTTATTAATAATAATAATAATTTAAACTCCATCCAATAAGAAGGGTTTATAAAATTCAATCAAATTATAATCAGTAAATACAAATATTTAAGAGGTCTTAAAATCTATTGTATGTCTATTCCCAAAAGGGTGGTGTTAGACAGTCAATAATTTAAACTAAAACTAGGGCCTCCTCCCAATAAGGTAGTGGCCGTGTCGCTGTCAAAAATTTAAGTTACAATTATATAAAAATTAAACCAAATCACAATTAAATTTGCTAAATAGGTTTATTCCTAATAGATCACAGTCATAGTTATACATATGTCGGGAAAGGCTCGTCGAAGCTGCAGCGCTTTGGACCGCCGTTGTCTCTGCCGATTCTCGTCGTCCTGGAGGCGTGGTACGTGGTTGGTACAGTTTACTCTTTATCTTTATGTTTTATGTTCCATAATAAACATTTTTATTTTCTATTTTTAATTGCTTAATTAATGAGGACTGGATGTTGACGTTGCGCCTACCCGCAATCAATACGTGATAGGTTGTGCTCAGTAATCTGAAATAAAATAATCGCTGGGTATAGAATTCAGGGACTCTGCCCTCCATTTATATAATAAATGGGCTCCGTTGATATAATGATCACAAAATGGGGTCGCGGATATTGTAATGTGTGCATTTGAATTCAACACAATAGCTTACGATAGCAAAACGCTAAGTCGTTTTGGTTTGGAAGAGCTTTCGACTAGGCAGAAGTCATTGGTTTTTTTAAAACTATGATCCAAGTTTTGACATTTATAATAAAAAATAGGGGTTGATCGTAGAGGGTTGAAAATTAGGGGTTGTATGTATTTTTTAATGCTGTAACATATAAAAAACGTACAAAAAAATTATCTAAAAATTAGAAAATAATAATTTAGGAGTGGACTACCCTTAACATTTAGGGGGATGAAAATAGATGTGGTCCGATTATCAGACATACCCAATATGCACACAACCCCTTTTTTTTTCCCCCCCCCCCCCCCCCCCCCCCCCCCCAATTTTCCCTCTTCCTCCCCCCCCCCCCCACCCCCCCCCCCCCCCCCCCCCCCCCCCCCCCCCCCCTTTTTTTTTTTTTTTCCTCCCCCCCCCCCCCCCCCCCCCCTTTTTTTTTTTTTTTTTTCTTCCCCCTCCCCCAAAAAAGAAGAGATTTTGCTTCAGATTATTTTTAACGCTATTAAACATATATTTACAGATTTGCATAAAATACTTAGAAACATCAAGCGTTGCATTCGATAACAATCTCGAAGTTTATTTGGCGGTCAATAGTGAATAATTAATATCAATAAACAGGTCTTGACTCCACATTATATATATGACGTGGAGGTTAAGAAGTACAGTGTAAAGTCAAACCGCGCGTTGTTACATGCAATATGGAGTCCGTACAAACAACTCGTGCACTTTCCTTCAAGCCAAATACTTTAAGTTTTGTACGTGAACAAGTGAATATAAATTCACCAACTCGTATCAATGAAGCCATCGATTTATTGATTCAATGGATTCAAAAACAAAATCATTTTATAAAGAAGGATTTCTGTAAGTATTTTAATTTAATTTAAAAACTAGATTAGGTGTATTTTAATATTTGTTATCTAACGGCTGGCCATAGATGGACCGCACTGTTGCAGTCGATACCGACTGCTCTAAGCGGTCGCCGCACGGCGAACTGCAGTTTCCATACTAAATTCATATCCGCCATACACGGATCTCACGACCAGTTTCTGAGCGGTCGGAGCAGTCGCTCTGCGGTCGAGTTTCGCCGTGCGGTCGACTGCTTAGAGCTGCCGGACCAACCATACACGGACCGCTACAAGCGGTTGCTGCCGACTGCACGCCAATCCCTCAAATAAAATAAAATACTAACTAATTCATCAAATGAAACCACGGACATTCTAAAGTAGTTGAAAAACTTTTTAGTGTCTTCTCTCAGCTGGTGATACAAAGTATGAAATATTCCCTGCTGTTCTCTTGATAGTATTGTCTTGGTAGTATTGTAGTATTGGACGCACCCTCATACTACGGTGTCTTCTACGCCTACGCTCGCGTAATAATAGTATAAGTAGCAGTGTTTCTTCATCGAAATCCATCTTGTAAATGAACTCGCATCAGTATTATTTTGCGGTCGAACAGAACTGCTCCAAGCAGTCGTAGTTGACTGCATTATGCGGTCGTGTTGCAGTCGTGTACGACTTCAACGCGACCGCTCTAGAGCAGTCGGTCTACATGCGGTCCGTCTATGGCCAGCGTTACATTTAAATATCTATTAGGAGATTATTTTTTAGACCGCTTTATAATTAAAAAAAACATATTTAATAATTATTATCACACGACCACAGTAATCTTATAACTTATAAAACTTAGAATCTTTTAAAATCCATTAGCGCTACAACCCTATATGGGTCTGGGTCTAAGATTGCATCCAATTCTATGATTATTATTATATCCCAGACGGGTAGGTGATCAGTCTTCTATCTGACACGTCGTCAGTTTTTGTATTTGTATTTTGACATGCCGGTTTTCTTATGATATTTTCCTTCACCATACAAGCGAGTATTAGATGCGCACATAGACAGAAAGTCCATTGTTGCACAGCAAGGGTTGAAACATATTATCATCACCTCAGGGATGAGATTCGCATGCTGAAACCACTACTACTATTGGTTATAAGATAATAACTACTCATTTACAGAAACTTTATTTTTTGCTAAATAGGCTGACCGCACGTCATTCTAGTTAAAAGATAAAAATAAATTAAGTTTCCTTGTATAGAGTAGAATGAGTAATAATCACACGATTACCTACTTATTATTATAGTTAATAATAATAGCAGTTCAATAGTTTTAACCTACGTATAACATCGAGCACACAAAATAAGAACTTTAAAAAAAACTAAAAAAAATTTTCTTTAGTTATACACTAATTTTTCATCTGTTTTTTTGATAACATTTCTTTATGGTATATTTGTGATCAGTCCTCATGTTATCTAAATTTTTTTAAGTCTGCAGGAAATTTATAGGCCGCTAGATATTTTTTTGAAAATTACACTGATAATGTAGTTCCGTTTATATAATTTACCTGGTTCATGTAATTGAGATATCAATTGCTTATAATAATAAACGGGTTTTGTACAGTCCAATTTACTAAACTAATGTAATGTATTATATTTTAATTAACTTATAACAACTCTTTGAAATATAGTAATAAACGTACATCATGATGTAACCTTGTGTTTAGGGTCTCTGCGAAAACGCTGCTTAATTTACACGAAATAATTAACATATATTTCGGATATATTTTTATATAGATCCCTTATCGTAATAGAGCGATTATTTTCTATAGTTGTTGCCATAGCTTTAAGCTCTGATAGTAAATAAGATCGAAATAATACGAAAATAAAGACAGATATTTTTTTGCATTCTTTTGATATATTTCAGCCCGAGAATACCTAGAGAGGTGTGTTATCATAAGCAAAGGTTCGGTTGAAAGAGCAAAGACAAAAATGGAGAAATCTTACACTTTCCGCACGCTTATGCCAGAATTGTTACAATTTTCCAATCCCAGGGATTTGATGAAGGAGTATGAAGGCTCGATGTGAGTGGTAGATTCGACACGCCATCTAATATATTTGTTGCATATGAAAACGTAACCTATTTTTCTACCAAAATCAAACAGAACGCATTGATGAAGCTAGGTCCGTGAATTAAGTTGTGAATTAATTTATATTATAATAAGCGCGACCGCCGCTGCGAAAACCGCTGTGCGAGTTTGAAAAGTGAGTTACAGAATCGCAAGGCTGGCCGCTAAGTTTTAAAATCTTTATTGTAAATGGCTTTGGATATTCGTTAATTAGCCTAAATACACCACCTTAAATCTCTGTCACCGTCTCACGCAACGACCCGATAATTATCTACCAAAATTTCTTTACGGAAAGTTACACATATTACGATACAATTTTTCCAGTATACAGTTTATTCTTCCCCAACTGACGGATAGACACGATCGCGTATACGTCATGAAAAATAGTGGACAAAAATTTACAAGTTTTACTAATTACTACAAATTTTTACTTATGGTAAGTTTAGTTATAACTTTTCCGTTTCCGTTACCTTGTGATAGAGGATATTATTATATGATTATTACATAATACACCTTTCAACACAAACATGAGACACAGTTACTACTAAAAAATATAATAATTGAAAAAAATTATGAAAACAATAAATTTCTAAAATTTATAAGGTTAATTATAATAAGGTATTATTGTTCTCAATTTAGACACTGTCACTGTTGTTTTCATATTATGTTAAAATAAATTTATCATTAAAATTAAAATAAAACACTATTTATGGCCACGAATCAATTTAACGACTAGCCAAAGGAAGAAAACAAGAATTGAAAATTTGCCATTGGGATCGCCTCGATTCCTTTGCCTCGATAGCCTTTTATAGCATATAAAAGATCTAAAAAATAATCAACATACATCAATAATTTTTACAATTTTAATTACGTTTAGTATAGCGCCTGGGGGTTTTCCCCTCGGATTAGAGTTACAGTGAAAGAATTAATATGATCGATGTGGGATATTGTTTTTTAAACTATAAATTGCAATGTTTACCCAAAATTATTTTGTGCAAATTAAAAAAAATATATTATGAAAAATTAATGTTTGGCCATATATTTTCACTTTAAACAGTATTTTATTTTATTTATATGTTAAATCTTACCTGAGTAGACATATAGGAACATCAAAATCAAAAATACTAATTCGAAGTGTATCACGCGTTTACTAATTTCATTTTGTAGATTTTTGAGTATTTTCAAGCTAAAGATTACAACAACGGTGTGATTGCGGTGATTGATTATATCGACACAAATGTATTAGAAGTTGTGAAGACCATAAACGTATTAGAAATCCGGCAGCTGATTACAATTGTTACGGTTTGTAAAAATAATATAACCGCTTCTTATATGATTGATTGATATGTTATTGCTTATTTTAAGCAACAAATATATAAAAAAGTCCTTAGTAAATTTACAAATGCAGACTTAACTTTAATTCTGGTAAATAAAATATTTATTTTAGAAACACAATTATTTACAATATTACCTTAATTATGATTTAAAATGAATGCCTTCGGGTAAATGCCTACTCCATCTTCTTCCACCATATGTTTCTTTTGGCGACATACATTTTGTCCCGCTTTACTTATTGAGAGAGAGAGGAGAGCAGAGTGGCTTCTGTGCACGTCCGTCTATGTGAGACATTTAATTTCGCAAAACATCGTGGGGAGACTGATGCCTTAGACACAAAACGCTAAGTATCTCAGGGACAGAAGGCTGATCTATCAGAAGAAATGCCTGCCTATTAGTAGAAAAAAATGTAAATGTTCAGCGCCATAAAAGATTGTAGCGCCAGTGTTCTTTTTTCTACCTACATAGCAAGTGTATAAGACTGAGATCTGCAGTTACAACTGGTGCAGATAGGTAAAACGTGGTATACGGTTCTTTATTTAAAAAAAATTCATGTGCCTAATTGCACCGTTTTAACTATAGTAGTCTAGTAGCTGTTGTTTCATCATAGCGTAAACACAATTAGGTAAAACGTAATAATGATTTAGTTTTAATAAGTAAGGCGGATGCTCTTCTTTTGAAAAATATTATTGGTATTTTCTTTTACAGGAAGGTTTTAGCCTTCGACTCAAGGGAGTACATTTTATGACGTCATCGAAGGCTATAGACACACTTGTTTCTATACTAAAACAGGCCTTGAGCGAAAAACTGGCACAGAGAATTCATGTACACAGAGATCACACATCTTTAAAAGAACATATTCCATTAGAAATTTTGCCAATCGAGTACGGCGGCAAGGAAAAATCTATGTATAAATTACAGGGTGTGTATTTTGTAATTATATTTTGGATAGCTACAAACGACGAAAAATAAACTAACTTTTACATTAAATAGTTAAAATTAATACTGCCCTTTGGCAGCAAAATGATACTTTTATCATTTTGTATCTGTCAAATTGTATTTATAAAGCTCATAAAAACTAAGGCAATTTATTATACAGCTCCACCTACACGTAATTTTAAGAGCCTAATAATTTATTCAAACGTAATTTATGTATTGTGTGTAATCATTTGATACGTAGCAACGTAATTAGACATATTCATGAATATTTTTTATGATTTTTCTGTAAGAAATTATCAGTTACAATGGAGATTATAAATAAATATAAAATCAAATGCAAAATCAAATATAGCAGATGATGTATATAAGCTATGTTATATAAATTATATATTATCGGACGTCAAGGAAAAATACAAAATACCATCCGTATCACCTCGACGTTCGTCGTTCCACAACTGAGCGTTTTCTAAGGCAGTTTTTGCCGCGCACCACTATGTGGAGCCAGCTGCCTACTGAAGTATTTCCGAAACAATTCGACTTAGGGTCCTTCAAGAAAAAGCGTACCAATTCTTGAAAGGCCGGCATCGCACTTGTGAGCCTTCTGGCAATGTGAGTGTCCATGGACGGCGATATCACTAAACATCAAATGAGCCTCCTCTCCGTTTGCCTTCTTTTACATTAAAAAATAATCTAATTATAATAAAATGTCATTGTTTAGTTTGAAATTAAAGTCGGTTCCAATTATCTTTAAACAGTAGTCAGAAAGTACGTAGCACTTAGGTTATCAATGTCTTGTCTCTATCTCATTGTTTTTTTTTTCGTCGATTGAACTTAAACCATATTGTGGGTCGATAATGTTTACACCAGATAATACACTATCAGAGAATTTAAAATTTATAAAATAATACATGTTACAAGACCAACATCAGTTTATCTTAATTCATTCATTCTTAAGACATTTAGAAGAATATATTTTCAACTACAGCAGTAAAATGTGTTTTAGTCATAGGTGTATTTTGTAAAACAAGAAAAAAAGGACTCCCAGAATAGAAACCCTCCTCATTGTTTATTTTACATCGCGCATTAAGCACTAAACATTTAAAACCATGCCCTACCACCTGACGCACTCCGTCAATTTTTGGGTCTAATCTAAGAGTGACATTCAGAAACGACACTTGTTATTTTCACATACGAGAGTAATAGTTCGCTTTAGTGTATCAGACTATCACCTACTTACCAAATAATAAAAAAAGATCAAGAAACCGGTAAAGTAAGAACAAGGGCAACGCCACTTTTTTTACTTAGTACAATCGATGACAAAAAAAATGTTTTTTTTATGATTTCAGTCTTTATAAGCGCAATATACATTGGCCGCTGTATAGCGTTAAGGTATACTTATTTTTTTTTTACAACTCATGCACTCTAATTACACAGACATGACTGTCGCCACACCTTGTAAAAAGTTGTAAAAAAATGTAGGTATTTCGGTAAAATGTACATCTTAATCAATTCCCCAAATCAAAAAAATTAAATGCATTTATTACTTATAACATATACAACTATTTTTACTTATTATATATAGTTATAATAGTTATAATAGAGTTATAATTGTTAACAGCTTAATTGGCACGTTGTAATACGTAAATAAGTTATTTAAAAACAAAAATAAAATGTTTTCAATTAGATTACCAGTTGATAAATTAACAATTCAAGGAAAACTTGTTTATGATGGATATTTAAAATGAAAGTTTACTAATATAGTTTTATTTACACATTCACATTATTACAACCACAATTAGGCTCCTCTCTAAGATCGCCAATTTAAAATAATGAAACGGATGCGAAAATGTCTGCACCATGGGGCATTACTTGACATTTGTATAATTTCTTGGAAAATTTCAGAAAAATATTTTTTGTTTTATTTCAGATGATTTAATAGATGAATTAGAATCGCCAGACTTTATGGATCACTTGAGAGAAATGCAAACAGCCAGAACCGATGAGTCCAAACGACAAACAGATAAATACAACGAGGCTATTATTGGAATGCCCGGATCCTTTAGGTCTCTAAGTGTCGATTAATTTGATATAGGTTCTCTCATTATGGTTAATTACAATTATAGTCGTCAAGAATAATAATTATAACAAGCTTAGGCCTCGACATGCAAGCGACTTTTTTCCCTTTATATAATACTAATAGTCTATGTTAATATCAAAAAAGAAAGGAAGTTTTCTATTGTTTTGTATTTTCGTTTGTTATTCAGTTTGGTATCCTTAGAAATTCTAATCGCTTAAAGGGTACAAAATATTGTACTAAGAATGTATAATATGTTAATTCCCGTTGAATTATTAAATATCTAGTACATATTTAGGTCATAGTTTGCGAAGTCTAGACTCTTAATCTGAACCTATGGTCACAGTTGGTGCCAACATAAGAGAAAACACTCAAGCGCCTTAAGCTTTTTCACCTCTTAATAACATCATTGCAACGTCATGGTTGCCTCATTAAAAGGAGATTTTTTTAAACATAAATATGTACATGTTCAATTTACGATTTTTATATTCCCTTACGGAACAGCGGAAAATATCGTGAAAATACCTTTTGGAACCCGAGCCATTTGGTCATTAGCAAAACTTAGGGAAACTTTTGTCAGACATGGGATAGGTACTTCTGTCGAAACTACCCGGTTTACTCAATGGATTATGCCGAAGGATGGTTTAATTTCTTGTAGGTCGTGACATTAAGTCCTAGTTGACGGAGGATCCGCAAGGTTGTGTTCTCTCACTCATCCTGTCCGTTCTGCATATCAATGACCTGTTTATCATCGACATCATCCATTGCTACGCAGACGACAGCACCATCGACAGATTTTATTCCGGCCACCCCAACATGTCTCGATATGAAGTCAATGAGATATGAAGACAAACGACACTGAAGAAAGTTTTTGTGTGGAGTAGTAGCACCCTTGATAAATTTAATCCTACAAAGACTCACTCAGTTTGTTGGTTTTCTGCCAAGAAAGATCCTGCTTACATCTCTGGGCTAGAGCTCCCAAATACCAGTTTCATCCCTTTGACCAAATTCAGCGAAGGGCTTGTCAAATTGTCAATCTGAAAAGTATTACTCGGAGATTGGCTTGATTCTTTCTCTATACGCAGAGACATTGCGTCTCTATGCGTATTTGCGAACTGTCTAAATATGACTTTATTATAGAAATATTAAAAGAATAAACACTGGCATTTTAATTTACAAACTACACCGTAAATTGAAAAGCTTGGTTCAATAGTGAATCCTGGAAATATTGAGTTTTAGTTTACAATTATATAGAATACATTATAGATTAGTCGAATTTAGTTTGTAGATATCATGAATAACTTTCTTAATAGTAAAAAAAATGATTTAGTAAAGCATGGGCATTGGTATTTAAGCTGTAATACATGGGAGAGTAAATAAATTACCCACTTATTAAATTACTAACAATAAGAACAACTGAATTTCAGACAATTGTAATATTGACAAAAATATGCCTTGTTAACAGGACTTAATTAAAAAAAAATTGTCTCGAATTTGTCGAAATAGAAAAGTTACAAAAGATTTTTGTATGGACGACTCAAGACGCGCTACGTGGGCGTTATTTGGAACTAAAAGCACAATTATGTATCGTTCTAAAGGAATACATTTAGCTATAAAAATGAGATAATATCGATGTCAAAAGCAAAGATCGTATCGACGTATACGAATTCTTGACGAATTAAGAAATATACATTAGAGCTTCTAATTTTACATTTACTGCCAGTTTTCAAATCAAAGGAGTAGAACGGAAGAGAAGAACTGGCAATAAATTCTCCGCCAATCTTTTTAATCTCCAAGTTTTTTGTTTTACACAACGTTTGTAAGGAGCTGCAACCATTACACCATGTTCCACATGACATCTTAAGAAATAAATAATAATAAAATAAATTTAAAAAAAGATTTGTCCTCTATCAGCAGCAGGCACGGTGAAATTGGAGCACGCACTTACATTCTCTTGGGAACATCACGAAAATACATAGTCTGTGATACCAACTACGATTAGATTCTTCAAGTTCTCATAACATCTGCGTATCTGGCCGAAATAAGACACAATTCGCTGTCGACATAATATGGTTGACAGGCGACTTTGTATGGGGAGTTTGGTCAAATCCATGTATTGGTGCGCTTTGCAGTCCACGGTATTCTTAGCATTCCTCAGCCTCCAGCACCACATCTCAAAGGCATCAATCGTTTGCCTTTGTGTTTGTTATCGAGCCAAGATAGTCCATTTTTCTATTACATGAATATAGGGAATACTAGAGCCCGTATCTTTTTGGTTTTGATACCAAATTTTCGGGCAGATGGTGTCTATTTTATTAAACTTACTTAAATTAAATTTTATTAATATACAGTGAACTTATAATTGTTGAGTTACACTTGATAATTATGTTTAATTAAGGTTTAATGTTTAATGTTATATATATATTTAATATTTTATTAAATTTTTTTGATTTTAGTATGTAAGGGATCTTTTGTAAAAATATTAATACACAATAACGAAAACAATAAAAATAAAAATAAATAAATAAAAATCATTTAATTCAGACCATTAAAAAATCCATATATTGTTAGTAAAGTAATCCTTATAACTATGTTAGTAAAATTAATACTAATAAGTTTATTAGTGGTTCTAAGTTAACTCACAGAACTTTATCTCTGTCTTTTGAATGTAGACGGTTGATTGCTATGTATTACATACAATTTATTAGCATTTATTAGCATACAATATTAACAAGGTTATAGCTAATATAACAAATTCTAGGATTAGTGACGAGACTGTGTTACACTAACAACACAGTGATTGATAATATATCTTTATGTTGTACGAAGGAGGGTCCACCTATAATACCAACATACTTGGAGGCCAATACCAGTCAGATAGAGTATACTCTTCCTGCTGGAACACATACCTTAGGTTATTCTACAACTGTAGAGGTCACTCCGGATAGTACTTTAAACTAGGCTGTAAGAGATTTCAAGATTTTTTAGATTTTAAGATTTCAATATACAAACCCCCAGGCTGTTATGAAAGCTTTTAAAGATCTTAAAATTAAATCTACAGAAGATCTTTGGGGATTGTCTGTAAAAGTCTGTAGTTCTATCATCGAAACTATTGCGCCTTATTTAGCTTTCATATTTAACACCAGCATAGACCAAGGAGTCTTTCCGGATCTCATGAAACACAGTAAAGTAGTTCCGTTGTTCAAATCCGGTGATAGTAAAGAACCCAATAATTATAGACCTGTGTCAATTCTGCCAGCTCTCAGTAAGGTGTTTGAAAAGTTAATGCTCAATCAAATGTTATGTCACTTTAATAAAAACTCCATCTTTCATGAACAACAGTACGGTTTCACCAAAGGGCGTTGTACAACTGACGCCGGTGTCTCCCTAATCAATAACATTTTTAACGCTTGGGAGGAAGCACAAGATGCCATTGGAATCTTTTGCGACCTTTCGAAGGCGTTCGATTGCGTAAACCATGAGACTCTTCTGCTGAAACTTAATCACTAGGGGATTAAGAACAAAGCTCTGGACTTACTAAGATCTTACTTGAAAAACAGACAGGTTAAAGTTCAAGTTAACGGCATAAACTCGTTAGGGTCTGAAATTACAATGGGCGTTCCTCAAGGTTCAATATTGGGTCCATTCCTCTTTTTAGTATACATAAATGATTTACCCCAATTAGTTCAGAATAAACCGAAGATGGTGTTATTTGCAGATGACACATCATTGATTTTTAAAGTAGATCGACGGTCACAAAATCGTGACGACGTGAATAACTCTATTCTTCGGGTCCAAAATTGGTTTACGGTAAACAATTTGGCACTGAATGATAAAAAAACTAAATGTATTAGATTTACGTTGCCAAATGTTAAAAGTAAGGAATGTGACATAATGTTGAATGAAGGAAAACTGGAATTTATTAATCAAACGGTTTTCCTAGGCATCACGCTAGACGAGAAGTTACAATGGGGACCTCATATCACATCTCTTGCGGGGCGGCTGAGCTCAGCCGTTTATGCGGTTAGAAAGATAAGATATTTAACCAATGTAGAAACTGCGCGTTTGGTCTATTTTAGCTACTTTCACAGCATAATGTCTTACGGCATTTTACTGTGGGGTCGGGCTGCTGACATAGAATCCATTTTTATTTTGCAAAAGAGAGCGGTCAGAGCCATTTATAATCTACGTCGTTGCGAATCTCTCAGGGAACTATTTAAAAAGATTAATATTATGACAGTACCTTGCCAATTCATTTATGAAAATATTATGTATGTAAGAAAGAATCTACATCTTTTTAGTAAAATAAATGAAAGACATAATTTTAGTACTAGAAATAAAGATAAAATAGCTCAACCATCTTTCAGATTAGCCAAGGTTCAAAATTCATTTATGGGGTAGTGTGTGAAATGTTACAATAAAATACCTTGTGACATTTTAAAACTAAATGAACGAAAATTTAAATGTTTTATTAAAAGTACACTTTGTAAACAAGCATATTACAAATTAGATGATTATATTCAAGATAAGAATGCTTGGAAACGTGCTGGTCCTGCTCCATAGGACAATCCTATGATTGGCTCTATAGCCTGGACAAAATCAAATTGGTTGCTGATTTTTTGCTTTAACATATTTTTGTTATTATTATTATTTTTTTTAATTTATATAATGCTACAAATGTAATTATTTTTTTTGTATCTCACACACTGTTTTGTTGTGTTTTTTTAATATTTTTATTACTCTTTAATGTTAATATTCTAAGGTTTCGATATTTGTAAATATGTGAGGAACATGTATACTAACTTTTTTAGTATAGTAGTTTATTCTAAGAGTACATTGTCTTCACATATAATTATTTAACAAATGTAACAAAATATTGTAAACCTATTTTAAAAAAGAAAGGGTGGAGTTTCTTGCCCATTCTTCTCCACACGAAACTACCTTTTGGAAGGGGCACTAGAATCATCCTTATATATATTTTTTTTGACGTTCAAAAGTGCCATTTTAGATGGTCTAATTGAAATAAACGATTTGACTTTGACTTTACTTTAAATTAAATTTAGCAAAATTATTAAAGACACAAAGAAGAAATGTATCAAAAGAAGAAAATCATAACGAGTTAAATAGATTTTTAAACAAATCAAATTAAAAAAATGTTTGTATTTAAATTATCGAATGATTGCACTTAAATTTACAGTTGCTGAAATATATCGCTAAAGCTGAAATTATACATAAATTCATTTAAATTGATTATGGCAATAGAATGATCCTAAGCTAAGCTAAGTAAATATTTTTTCCAAGGTTTTTGGCAAATCCAAATTCATAATTGTATTTGAATTTCGATCAATGTAAATGTTTACATCGTAGACATTTCCGTATTTGTCGGGTTTCGCTTTTGCTCACACGTTTCGTTTGCTTCTCGTCCTGTTGTAATGTATCAAAATGACCTCCCCCACGTGCCACAATACTGTTCAAATACAGTGAAGCCTTGTATTTGTTAATCGGACGTACTAGGCGTAAGTCGTTACATCATGGATTTTATACCAAAAGATAAAGTGTTAAAAGTAAACTCAGACACATTGCAACATATAAGAGAAGAAATCAATTTAGGGAAACCGGGAGAGATGAAGAAGGCTGTTGATATATTGAAAGAATGGTTACAGCAGCAACCGCATATTAAAAAGAAAAATTTCAGTAAGTAAATAGTAGACTCGGTTTCAAATATATTTTTAATCCAATCAAACGATGGAATCTTGAATGAAAACAGAAATCTTTAACGTATCAAAGAGAATCTTGTTCTATTTTAAAATTCACTTGTCTCAATACAATTGAGACCGAACCAATTTAAACCTGTCCATTAGCTTGGCATGATTAATATAGGCAGACAAATAAAATCCGTGTCTTCTAATTATATAGAAATACCTTTTAGATACAAACATAATTTCACAGGTAACTTTAATAAGGAAATAAAATTCATAAACTAAAATGTGAATTTTCAAAAATAACACATGTATAAGTGTATATGTAGTGTAATTTTATCGATAAGCCCACACAAATGGAATCTTATTGGTGATAATTATGAACCGCATCTTATGTGTGTTCATCTCTATTGTAGTATTTCCATCATCGCTTAGCCCCTTTTCCAAGATTCCAAAGATGCGTAGTCCATCCGACGACCGTAGTTATCGAGTTCTACAATGGAGCTCCTTCATGTAATAATTTGATTTATGATGCTTTTTATTCCAACTCCGAGAATATAAAAAAAGGTGCGTGCGTGTACTTATGTACGCGCGTAAGAAGTTATACTTCTTTGGCATTATTAAAAATAGTTTTTGATTGCATGCAAATAATTAATTACAATTAAATAATCAAAGACTGGAAAAGGAGTCATTATAGTCAATTAAGTTCAGTTTACATTTGAAAAATTAAATAAATAATTATTTATTATTATTCTCTTACATTAAGTGTAACATAAATTCTATTTAATTAAAAGTATATATAATTATATATTTAGAACATCTCTACCAAACACTAAGAAGTATGTTGTAGCTTTGGCAGTATTGCACAATATAAAATTAATAAATTTCTTTGAAAAATTAATCAAAACTCCTTTATTTGTTTAAAAGGTAAATGACAAATGTCATTATGGTCATTCAAAATTCTTTGCATACGAACTTCACGCATATTCTATTTCTTTTTACTTGTAGATTGTCTTATTCCTATCTCGCTCGCGCACGCTATAATCACACTCCCAATTTTGTGTCACAGGTGCGCGCGCATCGTAAAAATTTCACTCTCATAAATTTTTCATAACGCGCCTAAAGAAGTATAACTTCAAAACTCTTAAACTAATTAACACTTATTTCTCATCTGAATGTGATGATATAACTAAGTTTGGATTGTAAAAAAATCATATTAACTTCTATTCTAAATTTTCTTATACCATTTTCGTATTAACCAATTATTTAAACCTAAGATAATTTGTAGATTTAACTAAACCGTAGGTACTTAAAATTATTTAACGATTTAATGTATAAATAATAGGTTTATTCATCATCTAAATAGTATATTAAATATATTAAGAGTTTATCAAGATAACTTCGTCATAATATTTTTCGAAAATCTTAATTTATATATATATAAAGGAAAGCCGTGTTAGTGACACTATTTATAACTCAAGAACGGCTTAACACTTAATAACAAAATGCAACTGACGTAATGGTAGTATGGTGTTTGAAGTTGATCGGTTGATTATTTCAAGTTTCTATTAGCTTGTGCCGATATTATCATTAACAATGCCACGTCAAGACTAATGAATCTTTCCCGACAAAGCCGTAATGCAATAAATGGATGGACCGATTTTGATGAGTGTTTAAGTGGAATAGTTCAGATTATTTACAATTAATTAGATGTTTTTTATTTAAGTTTGAAATTTTCTGTTTAAGATGTGTGTACAGGTCGTTTGTCCTCTAGTTAGATATAATAATTTGCAACGCTTTCATGCGTAGGTTACGGAATCATAAATATATACATTATACTGTATATACATACTATATACTATATCTACTCTGTCAATAGCACGGACAAGGAGTTTTATTTAATAAATATAAACACTATACAAGAGTTTAACAAAGCATGATTTATTTACTTTAAACTTAAAAAAATAATTTTCTTAAATGCTTTTGACACTTACACCTAACAAATTAAGGTGACAATAACGTGACAAAGAATAAATTGTTATCTTAGGATGCCATCATTGCAATAATGCAAGATGCAAGAATTTTTTCGGAAAATATCTTTTTATTATTAAAATCTAGAATACAATACATCTTTTCAGTACAACATATATACCAAGCTAATTTCCCGTCATCACTTAAGTATACCCCCATCATAATGATAGTGAAGTGTGAATCTGTTTGCCTTATAGAATTTAAAAGTAAAGAATACATTCAAGAAGAAGGCATAAAATCTTATTTTGTTTTAAGAAGAATTATGATTTCTAAAATAAATATCATTTGGTTATACCCTAATATCTTAGCGGAAGACGAATCCTTGTTCATTTTTCGTAACACTATTTTTCCATGCTGATTTCAGCCCTGCGATTCTGTAACTCACTTTTCGAACTCACACAGCGGTTTTCGCATCGGCGGTCGCTCTCAAATCAGTCGTGAAGCAGTCATTTTATGATTTGGCATTCTGAAAAGGTGGGAGCTTGTAGTTTATTGCTTATCAAAATGCCAAATTATAAAATGATTGATTTGAGAGCGACCGCCGATGCGAAAACCGCTGTGTGAGTTCGAAAAGTGAGTTACAGAATCGCAGGGCAGATTAGTGATTCTACTTCTTGTCTCACCTTACGGACTTATTCCACCTTATTTCTACTACACTTCGACTCCATACTGAACCTAAATAGTGTACAAAACCTTGAATTTATTGACATGTCAAACATTCACAATGATCTGCGAATGTAACCTTGTCTCTAGTAAAATACAATTTCAAGTAAATAGCACACGTAGTTTACTTTGAAATAAAATTAAGCTAGCCTACGTCACTCTCTAAGAAAAAAGTATCCATAGAGAATCTTATACGTGTGTCGTCTTTAACTTCGTAATATTGTATAAATTTCTACTAAGAACATAGCTTTGCCTAAGGTATATGTAATATTCCTATGAATCGATCGTGGAATCTGCAGTCATCATTACTAAGATTGTTTTATTATAACTTCCAATGCTCTTGAATTGTTACTGCATATGTCTTTACAATGCATTTTAAGTCATCTTGTGTTTATTATCTAAGAGTAATAGCCACGAAGTAGGCAACTTCGCCTCTACCTCTACTCTAAAATATTATTGTAAATGTATTTTAATAATAATACTCTTTGATTATTAATATTGGTAATTTCATACTTTGTACCTGTAAAACTTTCACGGTTTACCTATGATCATTTATTATTATGATATAACCAGAAGACAATCTGGCGAATTGTATTTATTGTAATGCAAAAAATAATAAGTTGTAGGTAAGTCATTTGTCCGTCATTTGTACTATTTGCTGTATCAGCCAAGTGCTGGCCAAGGTTTCCACAAATTCACACCATTAATACGTTTTTTGTATATATTTTTTTGTTTTTCGAATTTTGTTTAAAATAAAATAAATGCATTAATACTTGTCATCTATTGTGTTTAATAAGCTAATCCAAGTGTAATCAGGTTTTATAGTTTTAATCATCACTCGGAATCATTGAATGTAAAAGTTAAGGATTAAAAATATTCACGGGATATATATTTACGCACGTTAATAAGCTGATATAAGCTGATGTACATATATGTAGCTGTAGCTTTGTTTCCTCTGGTTTTTTAATTAGTGTGGAAACTTTCTCCTTATCTCAAAAGTTCCAAGAACTCGATAACTGGAAAGTGTAACCGGTGTTTATAAGTCAGGGGTATTTGAGTGTATTATAGCTAAGATATCCCGCAATGAGAAATCACATATGCACATTACTTACAAACTTTTTTTAGCTGATCATTTCATAGAGGCAACGGTGGTAACAGCAAAGGGATCTATAGAAGGTGCTAAAAAGCAAATTGATAGTGCATGTACTATGAGGACTATGTTACCACACTTCTTTGGTGTCACCGATTTTACCAAAGACTTTGCGAATGTCTTCGATATTGGGTAAGTTATTCACACAGCATATGAGCAAATAGGTTGGGCGGATGGGAAATAATTGAAAAAAAGTAAATAATTGTAAATTTTTGTTTATTTGACAGCATTAAAGTTTACACGAACAATGTTCTTATAACTTTTGTTAAAATTGACATATACAAAGGTTGAGAAGCTATACAAAAAAGTTAATTAATGCGATTTAAGCGGTAACACATAAGTTTAAGATTATATAAATAAATTTGGTAACAACATTTATTAAATTTGCATATGACTTTTACTGAACTTTAGGGGGTAATACAATTAAGATATAATTTTTGTACACAACTTTTTTTTCAATTTGGTGTGGAAATTAAGTTGCACCTGTTATTTAGAATATATACAGACCTGTTTTGTTAGGTAATACCTACCGTATATTCCGAATCTTATAATGGACAAAAAGTTTGTCTTAAATTTAGCATCGCCAATGAAATTTCGTGTTCGGCGAAAAAACATAAGTTTTGCGGATATACACATAAGTACAAAACAGTCTAAAGCGGTTGAGGAAGATTTCGCTCTGGAAGGCGCAACGATTTCTACTGAAGTTAATATCGCGAGTGAAGGAGAAAGTGACTGAAAAACCTCCATTGAGGGAGACAGACGTCTCACAAGTCGATTCTGATCCGACATTCATGTTACTCGTGGTGATGAGATGTTATAGTTCTAGTTCTAGTGTAGTTTTACTGATGTTATAGTATCAGAAAAACTATACTTAGACGGCGCTAAAATAAATTTGGATATTGTATTATATCGTATTCCTGTACTTACTTAAGAGAGTGGAATATAAAAATACACACATTCTTACTTGGTTATTAACATTATATGTAACCCAAAAGCGCGGTTTGATATCTGCAAAACAATATCGGGTTGATAAAGACCTAATCACTCATATAGAATAATAAACAAAACCAAAAAAGAAATCTGTATGCCCCATACCCCATTAGATGTTACGGTAAACAATACTTACTGAGTTTGCAACCCCTATAGACTTATATACAAAATACCAATTTATTATTATTTATTTATTTACTATTTATTTATTTAATTTCAGATCAGCCATCGTTATGCCGAAGCTCACAGAAAAACATCACAGAATATTTGTGTTAAAAAGTAAAGGCCCTATCACGAGTTCGGCGCAGTTGCTTAACTTTTACAGATTCGGAATATGTGTAAAGTTTTAATTGTATTTTTTATCGTATATGCCACGTTATGAATCATGAATACTTGTAGCAGCTAATGACATGCAATAATTGTAGCCAAAGTGATGACACAGTACTCTGCAACTCCTTGCCTCCTCCTGCTTTTGCAACGGCGAAAGCGATCTATTGAGAAAAACAAACAAACATCAAACTTACATAAAAAAACGTCGAGATTGCTCTTACAAGGGCCTAGTACAAAATTAAAAACGTTCTAAAGATCTATTCTATGATAAACTGAATATCGCGTTTATGTATGTTATTTGTAAAGCCTTTTTTTACCCGCATACTACACATTTAAATATGTTTAACGGATAGAAACGCGAAATTATTACATTATTAACTCGACGCGACTATTCCGGTTCGTGGCCTGTGATCCAATAAAGTTGTATTCAAATGTGTAGGATTTACGTAGGTAGTTGAAATAATAAAAGTAGTAAACGTTCTAATTAAGTCCGTAAAAACCGTCATTTCTTCTCCCAGAAATAAACCTAAGAAATATGTATACCTAAGAAAGGTATATTTTTCAAACTAGCCAATGTAGGACAAGAATATACTTTAATTTAAAAGTATTTATGGGGAAAATTTAATTGTTCATTTTCAGCTTGGAGAATACATGAAAGCACACGACTACGTTGCAAGTTATCAATGCATTTTTGATATACGCTTGGCAAATGTTTCTGATGTTATAAAAAATTTGAACCCAATGGATTTACGTCAAATAATTACAATTATTGTTGTAAGTTTATTATTAAACTAGGTGCTTATTGAAATATTTTCCTTAAGATTTAAAGCTTTAAAGCTATTTAATGCTTCATGTTACTAGCTGATTACAGCTAAAGGCTAAAATATATAATAATATAATATAAATATGATATGCAAATGATATGTATACAAAATAGTCTTAATGTAATATACATTTTTCAGGAATGCTATGGATTACGAATAAAAGGACTTCACATTGTGTCAAATTCAAAGGTAGTGGATACTTTAATTGCTATTTTGAAAACGCTATTAAAACCGAAGATAATACAGCGGCTACAGCATCACAAAGATTGTGATAGTCTCGTACAGCTTTTTGGAAAGGAATATTTACCAGAAGATTTAGGCGGTACTGAGCCATCTGTAAAAGACTTGAGAGGTAACATACATTCATTGGATATAATCAAATTTTGGGTATCAATACAAATAAAATTTATAAGTGAATATTTTTATTAAATATAGAATCTCTTCTAATATGTATAAATTGAAATACAGTTTTTTTAAATTCTACTTCCGGTTTTATTACAATGGCAAAAACACCGTTTCTGTGGTGATTCAACTTTTATGGTACGTTTACACGCTTGCCAAGCCTTGGCAAGGATCGACAATCGCAAGCATGTAAAAAGGGCGTTTGGCTTGGCTTGCGTGGGCTTGTGTCTGCTTGCTTCCGATCCAGTCGAGTGTCGGTTTTTTTACGCAGATCAAAGGGCGTTTGCGGCAAGGGCTTGCGATGCATTTACATGTTGGTCCGCGTTTAGTAGCCATTGTGATCTCGCGGCGAGTACACGCTTGCTTGATTTTACAAAAAATAAAAAAAAATGAGTTGCTGGTCAAATGAGGAGAGTCTTTCGTTTCTGGAACATTACCAAATGGAACCATGCATCTGCAATCCGAAAGATGCAAATCATAAAGATAAGAGGAAACAAGCAGATGCATGGATTCGTCTTGCTGAACTAACTGGAAGGCCAGTAAAGGAAATAAAAAATAAAAAAGAGATATTGTTGACTACCTTTCGCAAGCACTTGAAAAAAAAACGTGCTAAAAAGTACGTTAAACCAAATGCAATAGCCGTCACAAGTTCGGTGTCCGCCATGCTTGGATGTATATTACAGAATACAGTCTGACGCATTCACAAGCGTATAAACGCCTTTCAAACGCCAAACGAGATTTGTGGAGGCTTGGGACTGTTTGCAGTTTGCCAAGGCTTGGCAAGCGTGTAAACGTACCATTACAGCTAAATACATTTTTTAATCAATATTTTTGTTTGAAATAATGATAAGTAAATTTCATTTAGTTTAAGCCTTTGATCGTCTAAAATTCAAGATAAAGATTTTTATGAATCATTTTACTATAAATTACTTTTATCACAAAGACTTGCTGTTGGTACGCCATTTAATTTCGTGTGTCACTGCGTATAATGAAATGTAAGAATATAACATTCATTTATCCCTGGAATCTTAAGAAAAATTATGAATGAGAGACAAGGTTGATTAAAATTTTTATTCTGTGTAGATTGCTTTTTGTCATTATTTTTCACGTAATTGTCATACTATAATTCTTCGATGCGTCTATATTAAAAATCAATCTATCGTCTATATTACAAATCAATCAAATTTTCTTCACTATATTCCTCTCGGATACCACAGAAAACAATTTTACATTTGCTATAACACATTAACGCCGTTACGCCAACCGGCTGAATAATTTTGAAAAAAATAAAATTTGTGATTGATTTAAAAAGTTACGCACATGTAATTGAATTAAAAAGTCTATTTTTAGCCCAAATTTTACGTTAATATGTTCTATATCTTAATAATTCGACAGAAAATCGTTCATATTATCTTTCACTCTTTTTCCAAACACATATATATACATTACGTTTCTCATAATCTTTTTTAAATTAAACTTATTATATGAAAATTACATAATTAAAATTTCCCTTAAAAAATCCGTATATTTTTAATCTTATATACATGAGTATTATATTTAAAATTTCAGAGGCATGGGCAGAAGTTTTGCATGCACCAGAGTTTACAGAGTATATTCGAGATATGGACAATGCCAAGACTGATGAAAGGTTCCGGCCGAAATGTAAATTTAATGAGGAATATGCGGGAATGCCTGGAACTTTTAGGGTTTTAAGTGTAGATTAAACAAATGTAATAATATATATTTGTACTTTTAATATTATATTAATAGTTAAATTAGGACTAGATATGTAAGATTTTTTTGATGTTTATATAAATGTGTTAATGTATTTGTATTTAATTTTTATATTACAATACAGTAATTTGGGATATTAAGTATACGATTTGTTATAATAAACAAATAAAAACATGTTTTAGTTATGTATACACAAGATAATCAAAAGCGATTGAGCACTACGATCTCTTTAGAACTTTATTCTAATAGTTTAATACATATATATGTATGTATATATAAAATTTAGATAGGTTATATTAATATATATATTTCAATAAATGGATTCATTAATCGTTTTGGATTTATTAAAAGAACAATTATTATTGTTTCCGTTTAAAAGGAATGTTTATTATTTTCTAATCTAAAAAAAAGTTGAGTGCGCATCGCGTCACATACAGATCTTAATACAACATTTCCTAATGTTTACCTAAGTAATTACAAAATTGGACGTTCTAGAACATACTACATACAAATTACGCTTCTTAAAATGCAATGCTTCATCATACTGCAATACTTTTTCATTTTAATTCAAGACTTAACAATCGAATTAATGTCAGGCAAATTCATTTTTAGTTTTTCTTATATTTAAATAACATAATATTAAAATTACAGACATTCTAAAATACTTTGAAATTTTTATAAAAAAAACTTAAAATCGCGTCTGGCACATAGTTAGCAATGTGAAAAATGTCTGGCAATAAAAAAAGTATGTCAGGTAGACTTATTTAAAAAGGAAAAATCAAAAATTACGCTTCTTAAAATGCAATGCTTCATCATACTGCAATACTTTTTCATTTTAATTCAAGACTTAACAATCGAATTAATGTCTGGCAAATTCATTTTTAGTTTTTCTTATATTTAAATAACATAATATTAAAATTACAGACATTCTAAAATACTTTGAAATTTTTATAAAAAAAAAACTTAATATTGCGTCTGGCACATAGTTAGCAATGTGAAAAATGTCTGGCAATAAAAAAAGTATGTCAGGTAGACTTATTTAAAAACGAAAAATTAAAAATTACGCTTCTTAAAATGCTTTTAAAATCCAGGATTATTACCTGGACATATAGGATGCGCACTAATGAACGCAACCGTTACCGCCAGCCAGATTGCCCAGACTCTAACCGAAAGTGCAAGAAGGAAGACATATCACAAAATCAGCTGACCTAAAATTCTTTCTCGTAAACGTTGCTACCTCCCGTACTATTAAGAGCGGGCTATAACCAAAATCACTAATCGTAGATTTGATCTAAGTATGTGATGTTTGAATTAAAAATAATAAATATGTATTGATCCTTCACTATAGTTTCAACCAACGGTTGACTCTAATTAAAACACAATACAATATAAATTCTTCGATACAAAAATATCACAAAGTCGCCTCTAACTTTTGTCTAATTTTATTAAATAACAGCACGTTAGTTTGGCCGAGTGCTATTATTTTATTTTGTACATATGTTACCGGAAATGTAGGAAATCTAGGAATTGTATACAAATCCAATCTTCCAGCTTGTAGGAAATGTATAAAATATTGTTTGTATACAAATCCTAGGAAATTTATATAATTCCGAAGCTATGTAGGAAATGTATAAAATATTGTTTCGAAAACTATTTAATACATAAATGTCCTAGGCAATGTGCACTATTCCTAGGAATTGTATGTAATTCCAATATCCTATTAGGAAATGTATAAAAATAATGCTATCTGTAATAAAACACGTTGTTGAAATGAGAATAATAATTTTTATTAGCACTCGTTGAGACAACAACGTTCCGGTAACAGTCATATTATTACCTGAATAACTAATAAACCTAACCTAACAGCCAACGCGGCACTAGAGAGATCGCCTGATCAGACAAAACAATACCCTCCCCTCGCTCCGCTATCTCCGCATACCCATTGATATCTCAAATATTTATTATTTACATTTCCGTTAGCTATTTAGACAATGTATAGATTTCCTAGGAAATGTGTCTATTTTAATATATTTTACACATCTCCATGTGATTTTAGGAATTACATACAATTCCGGGGAAATGTATATAATGACGGATTACATACATTTCCGGTAACATATTATATAGTATATACTACGCACCGTGCAAAATGCCCTCGAGTTTGTACTATAGATGCGCAAACGTTGCGCCGCGGTGATTGCGTTTGTCACTAAAGCAGGCGGAGGGAAATCATACATTTTGATAGCCCTCTTAAGGTTTTTAAGGCTCTTAAGATTTGGTATATAACGTAAGCCGCTAAAAACATTGCGACAAATTGATATTGATATTTTATCGGGCATTTGTGATTTTAATCTAATTAAAAAATTGTATTTAACGATTCTGTTTTTGTATTTAATTATATTTAAGATTAAGACAAATTTTTCCTAAAAAAATTTATATCACTAATATTCCTTTTGTTATAAACATTCACCATGTACCACGATAGAGCTGTAATAGTCACCCACAACACAGAGGCTCCCCAGTGTACCCGCACTCCCCAATAGGGCCAGATCAATTTCGTTACAACCATATTTCGTTATAAATTATGCATTACATTGTTTTATGCTCAGAGCGTTTATATTAACATGACAGTGGTACTTTAGGGTGGTATTTTTAGTCGAAATTTGAATGAACGTATGGGAATTGAGAATGACATACTATTAAAAAAAATTTTTAGCTTGACCACTTATAATTCTGAGCACTTTGTTCTAAATAAAAGATGTTCATTAAAATTGATCAGGCGTTACAAACGGCACAGGCGATGCAAAGGTGGACACTTCTAATGGTCTAAGATCCGGCTGCAAGATCAGTGCGCTCATCTGTTATTTGCTAAAAACCAAATTTTTATGTATATTTTTAATTAGGAGAATGTATATCTACCAGGGTGCCAAAATTTGGCCGCTAGTATTTTTAATGAAATTATGTTGAATTGATTTTTGGGAAAATATTTCGATCACTTGTTATTTAAATAAAATTTCGTCTACATCAAGGCAATTTACATAAAGATTTTAAAAAATCACGGGTGCCGTTGATCACCTGGCCGCACTTCTTAGGTAGCCAGGTGTAAACAAGTATAATTTCGATACATTTATACGTTCATAACGTACATTTAATATCAAATCGAAGCTATTTTTTTTTCTATTAATTATCGTATAAGGATGCTCAGTTAAATCTGGCTGCAAATAATGGTAACCTGCTGTTAAAGATGATAAATATTTAGGGAAGAGTGAAAGAGAGTTAACACATAACATCATTTGTCGGACAAGGATAGCGAATGCCGCCTGCGACGCTTTTAAGCCATTACGCATGCGTCGAATGCTAGTGTTCTCACCGGAGAGTAACCGAGTTAATAAATAGGTAGGTACTCAAAAAAAATTATTATATTTTGAAAAAAAAAGGGCATTAAACAATTTTTTAAATTAATAAATGTTTAAAAATGTGTTAAATTGTTAATAATTAATTATTTTTGATTGCAGTAATTTATTTTCATAAAAATAAGAATATTTGCTATAACAGATGAGCGCACTAATCCTGCAGCCGGATCTCGTACTATAAGTTGAAGTGACGACTTATATTGTGAATAATAGTTAACTTTTTATAACTAATAATTATTAATGAATAGAAGAAAACAATTCGAGAGGTACCGAAATGAAACGGAAATGAGGCAAAATGTCTCATGTTTCACTTCTTATTAAGTGCCATTCTTTCGAAGGTTATTAGGCTATTTTAATTTTGGGTGCCACTCTTCTGAACAATGACGTGCGTCTCCTACCTTACGTACTTCTACCTACCACTCTGCCTTGAATGATTAGTCGTAGGAGCTCGTATACTTTGGTGTTACGTACCTACCCGTTTTACTAATTTATTTTAAAAGTTAGTTTAATTTTTATGTATCCAGGGCGACTGCATCACGACGGCTGATTTTTTTTTTATAGAACGGGGGGCAAACGGGCAGGAGGCTCACCTGATGTTAAGTGGTACCGTCACCCATGGACACTCTCATTGCCAGAGGGCTCGCGAGTGCGTTGCCGGCCTTTTAAGAATTGGTACGCTCTTTTCTTGAAGGACCCTAAGTCGAATTGGTTAGGAAAAAATTGTGATTTGATACTTGTCGTATACACACGAGAATTGTATGGGTGCAATCTATATTCCACAACTGTCATACTACGATGCCCGAAGTTTATTGCTACCATTGAAACTTCTCTTAGAGAAAATTAATTTTAATTGGTGTTAATTTTCGACTGCAGTTGAACACTCTTATCACAGGCCAATGGGGCATTTACTGGTGGTAAAAAAAAATTATGTTTATTATGGAAAATAAGATACCTACAGGTATCACGTATTCTACGTCATTAAATTAATTGTACAGGTAGAAATCTCTATTCATCGGCAATGAAGACAGAGGGTGTAAGCCGAGAGAAAAACCGGGGTAAAAAAACTCTCGGTACTCTTTTAAAATAGTCTGGGTAATAGGATGGGTATATCTGTGATAAGAATAATTAAACTACTTAAATATACATCTAATATATAAAATTTGTTTGTAGTTAAACTCCTCCGAAACGGCAAGACCGATTCTCATGAAATTTTGTGTGCATATTGGGTATGTCTGAGAATCGGACTACATCTATTTTTCATCCCCCTAAATGTTAAGGGTAGTCCACCCCTAATTTTATTTTTTTTAATTTTTAGATAAATTTTTATTTTTTTAATTTTTTATGATACAGCATTAAAAAATACATACAAACCCTAATTTTCACCCCTCTACGATCAACTCCTATTTTTTATTACAAATGATATACATGGCAAAACGACGTTTGCCGGATCAGCTAGTATTGTATATTATTCTACATTTTCTTTTATTTCTTGGTCAATAAGGAAACGTTAAAGATAATCTCGTACTTATTGATATTTTAAATGCTAAACGATAATAAGAAGTAGTCGTGAACAAAATTAAACATATAAATTTATCTCGATTTCATATTTAAAAACGAGTTTATATTTAAGTTTACATTCCACGCTTCCGGGATAAGAATCCTGTCAGAATAGAAAAATAAAACGATAAGCAAAATGATTGTTGAGTAATACAGAATAATAATTAATCATAATTGTTCACGATAATTAATAATCTATACACATATACTTTTAATGAGCATTTTTTTCTTTGTCGAATTTATCTATGACGAACACAATATCCTGAATATACTCGTGTGTGTCATATAGATAATGTTATCGTGTTATCTATCGTAAAAATATATATTGTATAGTTTTCACTAGTAGTGACAAAGTGTCGTGAATGTTTAAATAAAGAATATTAAACAAAAGGTATTTATATACCTTTAACGTATACGTTATAAACGTCAAAAAATGTGGATTTTTTGCCATTACGTATTTCTTCAAATAAAATAAATTTTCAAAAAAATCCGACGCAAAAAATATCAAAATACAAATTCAGTTATTAAATAAAAATACGCCAATGTTTAAAATTTACAAGATATATTTAACCCTGAACTTAAATAAAAATCTTTGTTGTTATAATTAATACGCCCTTCCCACATACCAATATATTATTATTATTAAGTAAACTACTTGCAGTGTATGCAAGGCATTCAACCTGGAAGCACTATGGAGTTCATACCGAAGGATAGAATATTGGAACTTCATCCAGACACCTTGTACCAGGTTATATTTTTACTGAGTTTTTATTACATTATTAAACTAAGAAAAAGTGTAATTAATCTAAATTTATTAAGTGAATTCATTCGTTTGTGAGTTGTACAATTATGTAAATATAGGAATGGAATAATCGGATTAGTTAACCCACTCTAGACGAAGTGTGGAAAACTTTTACATAGTTGACATTAATTTTTACAACTTACATTTTTCAGGTGCGCAAGGAAGTTAACTTGGAGAAACCGGGTGAGATGAAACGTGCTGTGAATATATTAAAAGAATGGATAAAACAACAGCCACATTTTATAAAAAAAGATTTTCGTAAGTACAATTGTGACCTTTTTTGACAAAATTATTTAATTGGGCATCTATAAATAATTTATTTTATCTTTCTTTATTAAATTTATCGTTTGTTTTTGTTAATGTGTGTGTATTGTAAATTCCAGTGTCAATCAAAATCAATAAGTGTTATTTGTTTATTGTAATAGGGAAGTGATAGACTAGTGGCTAGGCGCGTAATGCATCAATTAAATTTTGATCGGTGAAGGAAAACATAGCAAAGAAACCAACCCGTCTAAGTCCTAAAAATCGTTCAAACCTAAAAGTGTACATCAGGCACAGAAAACCTGCTTGCCATTATAGAAAAATTACCAAGGAAACAGATACACAAACCTGACGCTAAAAGACGCTAAAGAAATCTGACAGGGTTTTAGGGGTAATAATAATTAGTTACATGTACGTCAGAGCTTTAATTACCGTTTAATCAGACATTCTAGAAAAAAACGATAACATGTCATAGTACATATTATATTGGTCTAAGCCTAACGAGCAATGTATTTTATTTAGTATTTTTAATCCCTTGCATAATGTGATGTTCCCACGAGAATGTAAGTGCGTGCTCCTATTTCATCATAACCATGCTGATAGGGAACAAATCTTTGTTTTTAATTTATTTTACTATGATTAATTAACTATTGATTACTTAAGATGTCATGTGGAACATGGTGTAATGGTTGCAGTTTACAAACATTGCGTAAAAAAAATAACTTGGCGATTAAAAAGAGTGGCGAAGAGTTTATTACCAATTCTTCTCTTCCGTTCTACGCCCTTGATTTGAGAACTGGCAGTAGATGTAAAATTTAAAATATATTTATATTTTGATGTTCATCATTTATGTTGGCTTTGACTTTGACGTTGACTTTAATGTGATATGATTTGCCGAAAAAAGATATGTTTAATGTAATTAATTATCGTGATCTATAGTTACTATTTATTGTAACTGTGTTTTAAGTAATCTTGTAAGTTTAAAGTATAGAAGCTCGGTATTATTATATATAGCAAAGTTATATCCTTTTGGGTACTAAAAGTAACGAACGATTGTTATTTGATTACATTTTAGTCGCTTCACCTATTTAAAATTAAAAGCAAAGTTTATGTGGGGCTACAATCCTAGGTCTTTTACCCGCAAAATTCTAAAACGTGGGCTTATTTGCAGAAATATTTCTAAGAAAATATTAATTTTAATAACGCATAAAAAACACATCTTTTACTATACCATACAAAGCATTTATTCTAGAAATTAGGTAATTTTTTTACATAATGTGGAAAAACAGCCTTTACAGACCGCTTTTGTGGTATAGTTGAGCATAATTGGCCATAATTTCTACGGTAAAGAAGATCTCATTGGTCTTGGTAGTTTAATTTTGCCTTGGGTCAGTAATTGACGATTTTTGTGCCTAATATCCGCGGCCCTAGCAACAGGATACACTGTTCTTATCCAAGATATAGATAAGATAAAAAAATTAAAGGTTTTAATAAAATAAATATGTTGGCTATAGCAACGTAAATTAATTTATTTTACCATATAACGTAATTAGTATAGATAGTAGTAATTTCGATAGATTAAAATTCAACGATTAAAATATTATCAGATAAAATAGTAAAAGGTATTAATAAAATAGTCAAAGTAGATATATAACGTATATCTGTACACTTCGGGTACAGATATATGATATTAAAGGGTCTAAAAATATTATTTATTCATTTAGGTCACTCAACCCTTATAAAATGTTAATAATATATATGTTATATATTAATTACGAATAGTTTCATTTTAAACTAGACAATAGCCTTTAAATGTAACTACTATTCTCCCTTAAAACTATATCAACTCTGAATGGATATGAGATATACATCCGAGCACGTTTCTTAAATGGCTTTTTATTAGAATAAATAATTTAACTTGTACGGCGTTAGTAGATCCAGAAATTACTCCTAAAAAATAAATCGTAATAACATTCTCGATTTTACTATTGATACTTTGATAAAAGTAATACCCAATAAAGTACTAATTAACTCTGCAGCTGCTCTGTTACAAAGAAATAATCTAATTATACATAATGAGCTAAGTTCAGAGTGTTATCAGGACGACACAAATAATTAGTAATTACTTATTATTATCATCATTATAATTCTTCGATTATAAAAGTTCTATTAGAAATGTCCTATGCCCAATTTTAATCTCTAAATACACTACAAATACATTTTATATTTATAGGAAATTAATTCCTTAACAATAATATAATACATACAATTTGGTTAATACCACAGTGTTGTGGAATAGTTTTATGGATTACGCACCCTTTTTGTTATCATTGTATGAAAGTTATCCTATGATAATAAAAGGCTTTGAGCTTTAAGTATAAAAATAGTATAATCCAGTATTGTAATTCATCTTTATTCGAGTTCTAAGTTAAACCTTAAAAAGTAATAAAACCAAAAATGAAGAAGAGACCATTTTATTTTTAGCTGATTTTTACCTCGAAACATCAATAGTTGGCACAAAAGGGTCGGTCGAAAGAGCAAAGAAACAATTCGACAAAGTCTGCACGATAAAGACTCTAATGCCACAATTTTTTGATACTTATGATGTGAGAAAAGAACTCGCAATTGACCTAGAAAATTCCATGTAAGTATTAATGGCATTTGTTCAAGTCTGTATTAATTTTGACGCAAATATTTATTTTAAAATTTGGATACATGTCTTAATTTTGAAGGTTATTTATTTGACGTTACTATTCAAAGTTCCAACTTAATGTGCTCAGTTAAAAAACAAAATACAATTAATGTATAAAGTAGTGTAGAGAAGTAGAGCGTGCTATTTTTGTTTAATTTAAATGTCATGTTCCTCATTTACACAACAAATTGAATAAAGTAGTTTCAAAGTTACATTTTTAACTAGTGATCTAGATAAAATGAAATAACAACCTTGTTTTTATGAATGTTGATTTCGACAGTAAAATAAGAATGTAAGCCCTTAAAGAAAAGTACTGCTACGAGAAAAAAATAGTATGATACCAATTTTATTTTAATAAATCTAAAAACTTATTGATAAAAGGCCTACCATCTACTATCAAACGACATAAATTGTATTGTAATGTGCTAAAATTACTACATATTGAACTGCATAAAAATCGAATCATAAATTGGTATTTAATCTAATAAAAAATGGCGCCAAATGAACTAAGCGCGGTCTGAGAGACAGTTAACGAGTTACAAACGTGCTCCTCTTGTCAAAAAAGTGATAGAAATTTCTTGATGATACAAACTCCGTGTTTTTGACCATGGATCAGACTTTCAAAATCAACATTTTTTTTTAAATTCTGTTATTCTACGTATGTTACTTAGGGTAAGATTCAGAAGCGAGACTTAACACTCTCGTATGTTAAAACCTATCACTTATATTTTGTATTCAGAGACGCTCGAAGTCATTTTGGCATTTTTAGGTCTTAATCTATGCCAAGTGATAGAAATCGGCGACATGAACAAGGCTAGAGGTCGCGCCACCAAAGAAATCCGCGGCGAAAAAATGAACTAAATTTGAAATTATTTTTTCTTAAATAATTCCTTCAATGTTTTTACTCAAATTAATGTTTCTTAATGATGCATTGAAAACATCATTACATTTTTATCTGGCTTCACAGATTAAAAAAACATTTTCTCTGTAATCATACCACAAGGGAGCGTTCAAGTATTACGTTACGTCACGCATTTTTTGGAGATTATTGACCCCCCCTCGTGTAACGCGCCGTAACGTTTTTCTTTATCCAAGTACAGTACTGTAACCAAGTATAGTAAAACGTTTCGTGACCACCTAGTGACTCTTTATACCCAAAAATTACCATTATGTGGTGTAAAGTACTGGAAAGTCGAAAATATTATATACAATAACGGCTTAATTCAATCCCCGCCCCGCATCGTAACGTACAAAAGGACCCCCCCTCCGCCAAAACTCGTTACGTAATACTTGAATGCTTAAGGGAAGTTTGACAAGAACATGTTTTTGAATACTGTAAAGTTAACTTGACCGCGATTTTTACCGCTTTACAATATTGTCTCTGAATGTCAGCTTTAGAGTTCATATTTACGAAAAATATATGGCATTTTTAGCGGTAATTGATAGTTAACTGTTAAGCTTATAATTAATGTTTTAACAAGACATGGAGTGTAAGTTATTAATAGTTTTTTAAAATAAATTTTAAACAAAAATCTCAGATTTAGACATAGTATGGGCCTAGCTTATGTAACTGCATGTAATATTCGCACATTAAAGCAAGTAAATTTACACCATAAAGCAAACCTAGTACTAATTATTTAATTACAAAGTTAATATCCACTCCGTTTTGTGATTTCAGATACATGGCGATGTTACCAAAACTAACGAAAGAACACTACAGAGTAATTGTAACAAAGGTTGTTGGTGTGTTTGAAAATTCAAGCACTTATACTAAATATTTTAAGTTTTGTCTTAACGTAAGTATAACCTCCTTGATATTGTCGTTGGTTTACGTACGTACAATAAACCTTCTATTAAGGATGTAAATTTGACCAATTTTCTTCCATAGAGGTTTTTTTATGTAACAGGAGGCAAACGGGCAGGAGGCTCAACCGACGTTAAGTGATACCGTCGCCCATGGACACTCACATTGCCAGGTGGCTCGCCAGTGAAAATGGTACGCTCTTTTCTTGGACCCTAAATCGAATTAGTTCGGAAGTACTTCAGTAGGCAGCCGGTTCTACATAGCGGTGGTGCGCGGCATAGAAACGCTAACATCGAGGTGATACGAATGGTATTTTGTATTCTGCCTTGACGTACGATGGTGAAACTCAGCTGCATGTATTTGTCCGAACAACTCCTCTAAACACTCTCCATGGTAAATGCGATAGAATATGCAGAGAGATCCCACATCACTACGCGACGCCGAGGGAACAAGCCGCTCGGAAACTTCGTTAAATATGGTCAAGTGGAAGACACTGGTACTGAGAAGCTCCCGCCCAGAGGTGAGAACAGTATTCCATGTGGGGCCGAATTTGCGCTTTATAGAGTTGCAAGCGGTGGCCCGGAGTGAAATACCGTCTCGCCTTTCTGAGCACGCCAAGCTTCTTAAAGACTATCTCAGCCTTTCCTTCTAAATGACCGCGAATCTGAACGTCATTCGATATGTCAACGCCCAGTATCCCGTTGCTAGCTGAGGCTTTAAGGAGAATGTCTTCGAAGAGAGGAGTAGTGGTTTACAATTCGTGTAATTTGGTGTTCAAGCATAGCGCTTCAGTCCGTGGACCGGTCAGCGAATTGGTGTCGTAAGGGTTTTGTAATCAGATACAGATTTGATTATTTTACCTGAAGATCCTAAAGAAAAATAGAATACTCGCCGTATATATACTATAAGACCAATACTATTTAGTGCACTTTGTAGTCGGTTCTATTTTTTTTAAACGTCGATTTTATTAATTCATACAAAACTTCACTTATCTAGAATAATTTGATGACAGTGGTTCTGAATAATTGCAATTATTTCTTAGTAAATCTTGAGATTGTGGGTACTTTAAAAAGCAGCTGAATGATTTTGCGTATGTTCTCAAAATTATGATTAATCAAAATTATTAATTGAAATTGACGAAGGTGAAGTGTAAGGTTTATAATACATACGGTACAATTAATCCGTGCGACTTATATGCAATTACCAAAATATTTAATTTTGAATCACCGACTAAGTAGTTAAAAAAATCGTATTTAAAAATATAACCTGCAGGCCCTGGGTTTGATTCCAGATGAAATTATATATGTCCTTTTGCAACCTAGAAATTTGAGCGCCAGCGCCAGTAGCGTTAGAAAATCATCTAGAAGACAGACGCAAAAAAGTGCCGGCTGGGCAGATTTTCTTACGTTTGTAGTTTTTTTCGTCTTTAGTAAGCTGTAAGGATTCGACCAAACCATAAAATACCTAATACATGTATAGAAGAGCAAAAATGGTAATTCTGTAGCAATTCTAGAACCCCTGAGTAGTTAGTACGGCACGGGATTTTTATTTTATTTTATTGTCTGTTGTATAAATTATAGAAAAATAATAATATTGCAGATGGCCGAATATGCAAAAAGTCATGACTATGTGGGTAGTTTTAGAATGATAGCAGATCTAACAGACTGTAACCTTATGGACTGCATATCCAAGATCAATCTACTTGAAATACGACAAGTCATGTCAATATTTATGGTACGTATTAGGTACTATTGGCATTTTTCTACTAATATTATTTTAAGTGTGTATCAGTTCATCGTAAAGTGAAAGATGAGGAGATAGTGAAGAAAACACGATGAGGAAACAAAGTATATCTAAATGAAAGAGTCAGAGTCAAGACTTGACAACAAAATCCAAAACGTTCTTGACAAATAAAGTTCTCAAAGAAAAAAGGAAATTTACCTTGGCCCATTGGGGATTTCAGGATCTCAAAATGTATATCCGCCCAATTATACAGCTTTTAAACATTATTCAAATCAGATAATAGTCTATTGCATACTCTATGGCACTTACTTTTAATTAAGTGTCGTGAACGCTTGAACGCGTAAACGCTTATCACTATTGTACCTTAAAGTTTTTGTTACGTTATTATTTCTACACATAGAGAATTCTCTTTAAAATGTATTTTAGGATCGATTCGACCAAACTTTAATTTATACACGAGTAACTATACCAGGAATAATATATTCCATGATTTTAATCTCGAGTAAATCCATAGTCGTTTCTCCACGTAATCGATTGTATAATTGCGCTAGGAATAACAATACGCGAATAGCAAAGAGAATAGTGAACGAAAATAAAACTCGGCAAATAAATGTTGTTCTACAACGGGATAGTGTAACAGCCCGTTCCCACTAGTCGTAAGTCGCATAAGACTAAAAGTCGAATGCTCTGGTCACCATACACTTTATATGGAGCTGTTCACATTAGATGAGACGCGACTTTTAGTCTAATACGACTCAAAAAACCATCCGACGGGCCAGCGCCCGTTTTGTGCGTCTAATCGACTCGAGCGCGTTGTTACCTCTCTCCCCGCCCCGCTTCCTAGATCGCTACACATTGCTTGCTCACTCCATTCGTGTTTTATTCCGAATGGCGCGAAACTACGACCTATACGACTCGCGACGCACCGTTCTGCCTTTCTTCCGCGCAACACCCTTAAGGTGGCGCTGGGAACCCCCCGTTACGCTCATGGGCTTGCGGGGGGTTGCGGAACACGCAGTCGATCAACGGCGGGACATCAGAACCCGGGGGGGGGCGTTGTGCGCTGCGGAGCGTCTTGCTACGCAGCGCCTCTTGTCTCATGTCGGTGGGGCGGTGGCGCCCCCGTGGCGGCAACGGGCGCGCTGGGCGCGACGGACCACACCGGGAGAGCCCCCGGGTTCCCGAGGAACGCCGCCCGCCCACGGCAGACCAGCGGACGAAACCCCAGCGCGCTCCGCGACGCCGGGAGGGGTCCAGCCCTTTTGTCTGATGTTGATGTTATAACAATTGTAATTGTGTCACTGAGATTCATCTGACTCCGCGCGAACCAGCTCGCGCGGGAAGGCTCGCCTTGGTCGGAGGCTGTATGATGCGGGCGGCGCTGGAGGTGCTCGAACCCCCCGCGCGGCGGGGGGGGGAGGGAAATTCCCTTTCTTTATGCGACTTACGACTAGTGGGAACGGGCTGTAAGAGCATACATCATGTCAACTCGATTTTGCCGTATTATAGTGTGAAAAAGTAGCTGTAGGCAGGTGTCAAACGACAACAAAAAGTTTTTATTTGTTTGAGGCTGTCGTCTAAAAAGGAACTTCTGTTGAGCCTAGTTGAATTTCATTTTAATATTATAGAAAATAAAAAAACTAAAAATAAATAATAAATTGTTTAAACTAGGGATGCATCGATACGCTTTTTTGCAGATACGATACCGATGCCGATACTTTTATAGAAATATCGTCGATACCGATACCGATACCGATACCGATACCGATACCAACGCTTATTGAATTAAAATTAAATTAAGGTAAAATATATCAAGTTTAGTTCAAGTTCGTAGTTTTTATTAATGATTAATGACTGTTAATGATTAAAATTAACAATGATAATATTTTTGTAATTGTGTATTTTATTTAATTTGGTATCGAAAAAATACTACTCGCGATAAAAAGTTAAAAGCCAACTAAATGATTTTCAAATCTACGTTCAATCAAGTCTCAATGATCTCCCGCAAGCCATTCAATCTAATAACTATGAGCTGGCAAAGAAAGTTGACTGGAGTAAAAATTTTGGTCTACTAATTAATCCAACAAGAGTTTTTCGTTCTAACTACTAACTGATGTGAGACTGATTTTAAATTAACGTGATTCATGTGCACTTTTTAGTTTAGTTTGTTTTTAGTGCCTGTTTAGTTTTATCTTCATAACTATGTAATATATTGTATTTTTGCGCTTCTTGCCTACCTTATCTAATTTAATTCATTGACAAAGCGGGTGAGAAAGACAACAAACTGAATAAAACGCGGGCATTTCTCGGGCATCGATAGTCCGTACCTTGTTTGCAACGAACTAGATTATAGAAGATGCGCGTTTACATTACTTTTTTAAAGTGTGAAGTTTGAAAAGTATCGTTGAATCGGCAATTAAAATATCGCCGATGCCGATATATCGGCAAACCCAAAGTATCGCCGATATATCGGTATCGGATGCATCCCTAGTTTAAACGTTTCATTATACAATGCCAGACTATTAATTTAGTGCGTTGCGTTGACTTGAAATTAAAACACAGAATACATATTTGTGAAATGACAGAAATCAGATGATTGGACTGACTGACGCCAATAAATTATTCTAGTAATAGCTGTTATTCCGTGCCAAACGGCGGTGTAGTAACAATACCCGAATAGGCCCACTATTCTTAGAATTTGTAGATGGTAAAACGTAAAATTGATTTACTCTCGATTAACTGACGATTTATTCTAATATTATGATTTACTCTTGTTTGGTCGAATCCACCCTTAGTGATTTAGTCCAGATTAGTAACATAGCAACACCGTTTATTCATAATCCGTTTGACCATTTTTCCAATAGGTACTTAACATTAATTTATATTCATATTACAATCGCTATTAGATTTTTGTTACTCGGCTGGAAGGTTTCCATAATACTTCCTTCCTATCTTTTACATCAATTGTCCAATTACAGGATGGATACGGTATGAAAATCAAAGGAATCCACTTCATATCACAAAGTAAAGCAATAGATGCCCTTCTCACAATTTTTAAACAGGTCTTGAAGCCAAAAATTGCAGCTCGGATGCACGTCCACAAGACATACAAAGATTTACATAAAATCATAGAGAAAGATGTGTTGCCATCAGACTTTGGCGGGAACGAAAGATCTATGAAGGAGCTATTTGGTAAAATCTTAATTTACTTAAAGTTATTTTTTTTAATGGCTGTAAATTTTTGAATTCAATTAGTCCTTGCATCATGCGTCAGGTCATGCATCAGACATATAAGTAATAAGTTAATTTTAGTTGCAAGAAAGGGACGTAGTTTGCGTAATATATAAACAATTAGGTGACATGACGCTTGAACTGTTTGTAATAAAATGTAGATTGGAAATAAATGGAACCGTTTTTAATGATGCAAACGAACTCATAATCGAGAAATCCTAATATTAGATTTCGATTTCTTTCTTTTGTTTCCTGAACGCAAGCAACTTTATTCAAATAATTTTACTGTTGTTATAATGCTAGGTACCATTAGACCTTCTGTTTATTCAAATATTAATAATTACAGATCTTTGTCATTGCACATTTATTCAACTGCTTTTCTACAATAAAATGCTTTTCAGATGAGTGGGTGGATATTCTGTCAACGGATGAACATAAAGAATACATTAAACACATAAACAGTGCTGGGACCGATGAATCCTTAAGATCAAAAGACAAATTTAATGAGGACTGTGCAGGATTGCCTGGAACTTTTAGATTATTAACTATTGATTAACAAAACAGCTAAAAACTAAACGTATAAATATTTTTTTTTGTCTCACTTTCATTTTATCCTTATTTAAATGTTTAAATAAAGAAATATTATAAAATAAAATAGCAAATAATTCTATTACATTGAACTCCTACTACGTTTGTTTGGGACCCGAAAAAAAGTTATGTTTTAGAATTATTGAATTAAAGAAATCTGTTTGCACTGAAAGGTTGGAAACAAATACAAAGTTCTTAAATATGCCTTAAAGTAAATACAGTATAAATGTGATTGCTTCAAGCCCCATTAACGTTAACAATTTTCATAAAAATAAATCATTTAATAATTCTTGTTTGCCTTGATAGAGCGATGGCCAAGAAATAAATTTAAACAGCTTTCGTACATTTATTGACACACGCTCCACCAATCCACGACGCAATAGCTAATTTCGTCCTTATCACTCACAAGTTTTTCTGAAAATGAACAAGCGGGACAGAAAATTCTTTATTTAAAGTTAATAGGATTTGCATGAGTATAATGGCCTCTGCAGCAATTTTTCAATTTATATATTAAAAGCAAAATAAGCTGTCGTATTAAATTTTGCTAAACCAGTTTGTAACAAAATATTAAACCTGTTACATGTAAGATATTGACTGCCGATGCCTTCGTTTAAGGAAAATCCCTTACATAAATGTACTAGAATAAATTAATTCAACACAGAACGATAAAGTGAGTGCCAGTGCTAGCGAGCGTATTGTGTGAAATAATTTGGGAATAGGAATTAACGTATAGGCAAGTTTTTATTTTTATTATTAATTTTTCACTTTTTTTACATTATTCTTCAAAAAATATTTTTCTTACAACTAAAATGTGTGGACAAACAAATGCTTTTTATTAATTAAAAAAAAATTATTTAATGTTCTTCTAAATCTAAGTAACATAAAAAGATGCCTGTTTGGAATATATAACTTATGTACTTTGAAAAAATTAGGAAAATGCATACATTTATTGCTAATAAATATTCCTTATGGAAAACTATAACGATAATGTTCCCCAAATTAAAACTATACTATGTCTATTAAAACAGTTAATGAATTAGTATTGTGATCGTGATTTTTTATATTAAATATATAAATAACGAATATTCTAAGTTCCCCTTTTTAATTTATATCTCTCCTTAGTTACTCCGCAACCAGAGTTCTTAAAATATGGAGAAATTACCAAAAAGTCCAATACTAGAATTTAACCAGACACAAGTTGATCTAGTACGAAAAACATTTAATTACAATGATATAAAAAAATTACATCAAGATCTTGACAACTTAGAGGATTGGATAAGAAAGCAGAATCATTTTGAAGTAAAGGAATTTGGTATGGAAATAACCAATTAAATTTAAAAACACGACATTCGATTTTTTGATAACTTTTTTATTAACTAGATGATCAGCCCTCTGCGCCGGCGCCGACTTACAGACGCCATTTTTAGATCTTATTCCTATTCGCGACAATTCTTTCACTATATATTGTCTTTTAAGGTAAAATAAAGTATTATTATAGTATTTGTTTTTCTTCATCACTACCTAGGACAAAAAAATTGTCTAGCTATTCAAAGGCGGAACGTTGCCAGTATCTTGCCTAAAGGGACTCCTTATAATAATATAATTATTTTAGTTATTAATATATAATATTTTTTAAGGTTTTCAATTTTAGGTTCATTGTTATATGTTCATATTTTATGTTTTATATATAATATCCACGAAAGCATGAATTGTTTCACCATTTTATTAATAGTTTAATTATTATAAGGATATATAAAAAACCTAAAAAAAAATATATTTTAGTATTAAAATAAAGAAAGCAGAAATTAAAAAAAAAACGGTTTTAGGACGATAACTTTACGTGTTAGTTGATTTCGTATACCTATCCCTAACGTGTTGCATATTTCATCAATGTGGAGGTAAAAAGTAAATATTTCCTTGATAAAAGCAAAATAAGTTTAGATATTTAATATTTTCATCAGGGTCACTTGAGGCCTTCCAGCCTTCTTAAAGTTACTTTCTTTTTCTTGATGTTGAACGGGCCTGTAATTGCTACGATACTTACACTTTAGATTTCTGTCGACTTAACTGCATATTTGTATAATTAAATAAATTCACGTGAAATTTTAAGAACTACTTTGTATAATAGGTGTTTATATCTAAAAATCTATAGAGTTCTTCTCAAATTTTAAGAATCTTTTTATTCTGTCCCAAATATTGATTTTCGGTTTATACGATAAAAACACAATTTCTATGTAGATTTAAATTTATTTATTGCTAGGTATTTTATTTATCTAACTAGGTAGACAAAAGACAAGTAACCGAACTTCGATATTCCTTACTACTTCTAGTCTAGCGTCAAATTGATATCATTCCAGATCGAGATTACCTTGAACGATTTCTAATAGCAAGCAAAGGATCCGTGGAGATTGCTAAAAAACGGTTTGATAAATTGTGCACATTACGGACCCTGATGCCGGAGTTCTTAAGAAACTTTGACGTGAATGATGAGTTCTCTCGTGTTGTGAATTGGAAGTTAGTATATTTTGTCTCTAAGCTATAAAAATATTGTTATAGGCTACAGGCAATATCATGTGTTGTAGTTAAAAAGCTAAGTTCGCATGCAAAGAACAGATGAAATATAATGTCTGGTCAATAGTTTGATAGTTCCCTAAAATTGTTGTACTAATATGCCGACCACGTGATCCATTGCACTTTCGGTATCTCTGAATAATAAAGTATTAATTTCAGTTACTATGGCGTACTACCAAAGCCGACTAATGATAACTATCGAGTTCTAGCAAGTACAGCACATAATCCAGATGCCCCTGACATAGATATGCTTGAGCTGTACAGATTTGTCATATCGGTATGTTATTGAATTTCTATATAAGCTAATCCTTCTTATAGTATTCAACTATAGAAATGAAAATATGATGCATATTACTTTTAAGAATGACGAATTGCAGTATATTGGAACATAATCTAAACACAACTTATATACAAATGAATCGCAATCTATGTTGATAAGCGCAAAACAAGACGGCTAAACGAAATCGTTCTTTTTTTTATTTAATCTTTTATTTCTGAGGAAGGTTTATATGGCAAGTATTTATTCCGGAAAAGCGAACAGTTTCTATGTGGTAGCATAAATGTTCCATATGTATGATGGCTCGTAGGTGGCTACTAAAAAGGTAGGCTAAGTACAAAAATAAAATCATGTTAAGGAGAAACTAAGTTCGCGGACGCAGCTAATATTAGTATAGATTAAGTACCTATGTCGGATCATTTTCATGTCATCAGGCAAAAAGTACGTATATTACACACAAATGCACTTCAATAGTTACGGGTACATTCTGTCGAAATAACAAGTTTTTCAATCATAATTTCGTGTTTTTTGCCGCTTAGAATATTTTAATGGATGAGCCCGAATATGTTACACCTCACGTTCAAGAAATACCTAAATCGTGACTGTTACTGTGAATCGTCAACGATTTTTTTATGCTTATATTTATTCTTTTCATTTCCGTTTTAATTTATTTGTCTTCGATAAATTAAATTTTCCCTAAGACATTTAAATAATTTAATTACATGGTAATGGTTATAAGGGATTGTTGCAAACAACGACAATAAGATTATTTTTAGCAGTTAAGTGGAATTATAAGTTATTTTTTTAATTATAGTCTTTTAAATTTACAGAATTATTTTTGTTTTTCAGCTGATGGAATATCTGTTTAAATATGACTACAACGCTGGCTTCGAAGTGATCTTCGATACAAGAATGTACACATTTGGTGTAGTATCCAAATTCAATCCAATCGTATTGAAGAAATGTGCCACAGTATTCCTGGTGAGCTTTAGAGTAATAAAATAAATAATAATTAGTACTGAATACCGAAAACACGGGTATATGTGGTATATGTGTAAACAACAAGTCACGGGAGATTTTAATTTTCATGATTTATTTACATTTAAAAATAAAACAATAGACGATCGACCTTCTGTTTTGTCTGACACAATTATTGTTTCGCCTGGAACCCAGGAAAACAATCTGTGCCTTATAAGCGGAACCATGAAAGCGCGTGTACCCGTTCTGTACAAAATAAAGCAAAGGTAATGTCAATAAAGCGAAATAAGTCTTTGCAGGGATACATAAAAAATCTCTCATTTTGTTGTCCTGATTTTTAAGTCCTAAGATACAAAGTTCGCCCCTTCATAAACTATAATTGTGAAATATTTAAGGTTTGTTGCTTATTTACAAATTTACGATACATTAAATATCTATTGTGGCTTATAATTTTGCATTAAAGGTTAAATCTTCACACTAAGCAAACATATTGCCACTCTAAACTTGCGACACTTTCTGATTGTTGCAGGAAGCACTTGGCTTTAGACTAAAACGTTTGCATCTAATGAGTGGTTCGAAGGTGCTGGATATTGTATTATCCATTTTCAAGTCAGTCCTAACAGAGAAGTTAGTCAAGCGCATCATTGTTCACGATAGCTTGGAATCTTTGCAAAATTACATTTCTAAAGACATTTTACCCGTTGACTTTGGCGGCACTGAGAAAAGTATGAAAGAAATTTGTGGTAAGTATTATGAAAAGAAAAGTGTAAATATCTGTGTCCTTCAACGTCGCATTCCTAGAACGCGAACAAACATTTTAGCAACTTGATTAAGCAATTAGGATACCTATATTATATTTTAAAATTCGCTGTAAAAGTTTTAACTATACCCACACTAAACACACAAAATAACAATAATCAAAGAACAAAATAAAGTAAAAAATATGATGAGAGATATAAAAAAAATTGTTTTTCCCTTTTCCCATTCGGTTCGTTTCAAGTGTGTAATGAGTGTGTGCTGTGGTTGTAATTAGCCCTGGCTCAGCATTATGCTGAGGAGCAGAATGTTCCACTAAAATGTAGGTTAAAACGTTTCTTACACTATTAACGTAATGTTTTGGTGCATGATTTGATTGATATGCCCTGCCTTGGAAGTATAGAGTGAATATCATGCGGAAAATTAATTTAGTACCCTGCGATGCGATCATTTACCTATAGCAAAAATTATATTTACTTACATGCTAATCATGTACCGTACTTAAAACCTAAAGATAGGTGTGTTTATTGAACATCATTTCCATCATAGTATACATTTGAATCAGACCCATATCGAGGAACAAGTTTGAGATACTGTTTTCGATGAGTCAGCTCCCCAGAGCGTTTAAGTTGGATTTGTAAGCTCTGCGCCGGAGGGCGATACGTGCTACTTGTTTGACGTGCAAGTTGAGCTTCGATTGACACCTAAACATATCTAGCGCTTTGAACAAATTTTAAAAGTATTTCTAAGATAGCTATCTACGAATTGTATGACATTTAAATCGATACGCATGGTAGATTGTTTTAAAATGATGTAGTTTTGTTTGTCATCAATAAAAAAGTTAGAATTCGAATGTGCAAACTCTTTTCATTTATGAAAGATGTTACAATATTATTTTCAATAATGATTACGATTTCCTTTAAAAAACATCATTTAATCATGGTAATGTGCGTAAAATAATCACGCTTGATAGTACAATTCAGATCAACAAATTGACTTAATTAATTAAATTATTTTTTCCGTTACCGATAACTTAAATTATTAATTATATTTTTTCAAATCATATTTCAATTTTCTTAACCTATAAAGTAATAATAAAAATATTAAAAATAAATAAAATTAAAAAAATTTAAAAAGTTTGGTCCTTGGCAGTGTACCTTTAACGCTGCAGCATTTCCTCCTGTATTGCGAGACTTATTCTTTGAGCCAGGAAAGTGCCAGCTCTGCGGTCACCGGTCTATCTACCAGGCGCCAACTTAAATCTTTAATAAGGCCTGTCCTTGAACCCCACGGCCCAAGAGTCTCTACTCCAAAGGGAACAAAATTGAAGTTGGAGGAAAGCTCTTTATTTGTGCCGTTTGTTATTTTCTGCCTGCTCTCGGCCGCGCCAGCTTTTTGGCTTGTCCGAAGGAGATGAGCGGGGCAAAGGTGTCTCCATCTCCCTACTAAACCCGTCCCATTTTCCAAGGTCAAAGCATTCCATCTGGCCGCTTGCCATCGTCTCTTCATGCCTGTTGGCTCCAAAATTGCTGGAACTTGGCGGAGGCAAGAGGCGGCGTATAATGTCGTTTAGCGGCATGGCGAAAAAACACCTCACTCTTTTGGCAGTGTGCCATGGTGTCCAAGCTACTTACTTCAAAACCCAGGGACACTTATGGGGAGACATATGGGCACTCCTAAGCGGAGCTGATGGCAATTCGAAGTGATTCAGGGTCTAAAAGGGTGCCAGTGTTTGGCGAAGGATAAGCATTAAGCCAATGTCCACTTCCCTAGACCCCGTATTATTATTATTATTATTATTATTATTATTATTATTATTATTATTATTATTAATAATCTTTTATTCAAATTATATATAAAAGCTAGAAATTTAACCAAAGATGGAATACATTATTATATATACAAAAAGGTTCAGACATTTACACAACTTATATAAGAAAAAAATTAGGTGACTTCCTCAAAGACAGAAATCTTATATTTGGCATTGAGCTAATGCATTTGTTAAATTATAAACGGTTCTTTGTTAATACGTTACGATAATTTTTCCCACATTACGTTTATATCATCAAATTCTCGAGGTTAGAAGTTCGGTTTCTAAATCAGGATTTTGTTAGATGTGGGACGAGAAACAAGTTAGGGTTGATACACAACACATTTTGTATTATTAGAAAAGATTTTCTTCCAAGAAAGTAGGGATTTAGCTATAACTTCAACATCACTGAGATCAAAAACCGTATAATAATTAAATGCCTCCTAATGTTCAGAAGTCTCAAAGCATACACTTACGCAAACCCAATGTAATTAAAAGACAGATTTGCCTACAAACTCTCGTCTGTTAACACAAAAACCTTAATATTATTTCACAATTACAGAGGCAACCCTAAAAGAGATGCGCAAGGAGGAGCATGTAGCTCGTTTGAAATTCCTGGAAACCGCAGGAACTGACGAATCTAAAAGGCTTAATCAGACCTTCAACGAGGAATATTTAGGAATGCCTGGCTCGTTCAAATCACTGTGTGTAGATTAGATACGGACTTTATATAAATTAATGAGCGATAGTTTGATAGTGTTTGTATAAAAAATTGGAATCAAAAATAAATTAACTTAACGTAAAAAAATTGCTTTGTTTTATTTGATGTTTTGTACTGTGAATAACATATATTATGATATAGTAGCTGTTTTCAGTCTCTTATTATTTTAAATCGACTTGAAACATGCCGAGTTTGTCATAATTATTTTGGCGAAAAGCGAAAATGGTTTTAGCTGGAATATTTTTAAAAGACGAAGTGAGAGAGAGCTCTTCCAATAAAATCCTTATAACGGAGATTCTAAAAGAGTTATGAGCCTAGCTGCTAAAGCAATATTGTGACAATGTTGATTTTGTAGTTCTTAGTAGTATTTAAGAGTTATTATGCTCACCCAAGACAGATGAACATATTTTGATATTTTTTTATAGAATTGAAAAATTATAAATATTTTTAATTAATAGTTTTTGTGTCATTATCATGTCAAGTGTAATGATTCATTATTCTTAATTTATTAAGGAAATCTATTGTATGCGCCAGGTAGTTACAGGTAATTGGTTTTATAACTGCTTATAATTTCATGCAAGAATTAATTGCTTGAATGATAATAAGTAAGAAGCTTGGTCACCTAGCTCAAGTAATTTGTACTTACTTTTTGTATACATTATATATACGTTTAGTTAATATATAGTATAAAAAATAATGTTTTGAATTACTTTAGAATCAATGAAACTATATTGTAAACCTTAATGTTTTAATTATTTTATTATTCGGGAGTATTAATAGTCAGTATTAATAGTTTTTATAATTATTTTAATATGAAGCAACGGCACGTTTTTCACTTTCACGTTAATATAGCAACCTGTGGAGGTAGGTTCTTGAGTAGGAACAGAGCATGTAGCTTAGCTTTACCCTTAAGACAAGTATCAATAAAAAAAACTTCGAAACAGGTCTGCCCAATTCCCCAGGAAACAGGACTGCAAACACAACGTTGTGTTAAGAAAACAATAGACTAAATTTGTTATCAATTAAAAAAAAATCCATAACAAATTTAATTTCCAACGCTCTACGAATTTATAAACGAGTTTGAACGTTATTGGTTTAATGCCAGCGTGCTGCACGTGCTATTGCAATATAATTTTGTTTTAAAATGTACTTACCTAATTGTTTCATTCTTGGATCTAGAGACTTGAACGAGTATCAATTTAAAGTAAGTTTCAAGTTCTGTGTACTTTTTTCCAAAAAGTATCAGGCCGTTGACTAGACAAATTTTTGTTTGTAATATTTATTTACAAGTTTTTTTATAGTAATACAGAAATACAGTATAATTATAATAATTAAATAAAGGGAGGGCAACTGCCGGCTTAATCGCTTTCGAGCGACCTCTTCCAGGCAACCTCTGTGAGAAAAAGAATTAGATAAGTTAAGCGCAAGAAGTGCAATACTACATAAGTTATATAATTACTTAAACAAAAAGAATGGAACAAAACAATGCAATTAAAACATATGTAGACAGTTAAGGGACGATATAAAACTCATGAATCACGATAATTTAGTTTATATCAGTTTTTTTTATGTAATAGGAGGCAAACGGGCAGGAGGCTCACCTGATGTTAAGTGATACCGCCGCCCATGGACACTCACATTGCCGGAAGGCTCGCGAGTGCGTTGCCGGCCATTTAAGGTTTGGTACGCTCTTTTCTTGAAGAACCCTTAGTCAAATTGGTTCGGAAATACTTTAGTAGGCAGCTGGTTCCACATAGTGGTGGTGCGCGGCAGAAATTGCCTTAAGAAACGCTCAGTTGTTGCACGACGGACGTTGAGGTGATACGTATGGTATTTTGTATTTAGTTAAGGAAAGGTAGGGTTACGATGTGGACAGGCCATGTTTATACAGTAGTTATTAAAGGAAGACAGAGTAGGAGCTATCCGACGGGCAGTGAATTCCATAGCCTCACTGCAGAAGCCTTAAAGGAGTCGCCAAGAAAGGAAGAGTTCTGAGATGGGATTTCAAGGATATATTAGTTTTCGGAAGAGCTATGCGCTCCCATACATTTGAATATAAGCAGTCTTTGAAACAATTATGGTTGAATTTAGATTGGACATTAGACCTAATGTTTAAAAGGAGCTATCGCAACCATGAGATCGAACGTTCGAACCCCGGTTGTAGTTTCTTTATACGCGTGTTATATGCTTGTAAAAAACCTGAAATTTTTAAGACCCGTAAACCTATTCAAGGCATATGTCACAGTAGGCTAACTATTACTAATTAACTTAAAAAAAACAATAAATGTATTGTATAAACAAACATAATGTATTATATTCGATTTTGTTTTTTTTTGTTTGATTTTGTCTTTGTATAATTAGCCTTTGAATCACGCTAATTATTTAACGAATACAAAACAAAAAAACAATCTTGTTTATCCGGCAGGTTTACAAAAACTTTCTGCTTAGATTACAAGCTGTTATGGAATTAAAACTCAAATCACGAGTCGGGATAACGGAAAACTTTTAATATTCTGGAAACGCAATTCGCAGAAGTCAATTAACGGAAGCCGCCACGGATCCGTAATATACACCTCATAATTTCCCAACTCATTTGAATAAGTCGCAAAATTAGTGGTTATAAATTTAAGCTTGATGACAATATTGTACTGGCAGGAAGTATCAAAGTAAGTTAAATTGTTTATTCATTTATAAATATGATCTTTTGTGACGTCAAACAAGCCATTCAAAAGCGCGCCTATACGCCGTCGTTCCACAACTGAGCGTTTCTTAAGACAATTTCTGCCGTGTACTGCCACTATGTGGAACCAGCTGCCCACTGAAGTATTTACAAACCAATTCGATTTAGGGTCTTTCAAGAGAAGAGCGTTCCAATTTTTAAAAGGCCGGCATCACTTAACTTCAGGTGAGCCTCCTGCCCATTTGCCTCCTGTAACATAAAAAAATCTGAGAAAAACAGGCAAGACGCTTTAATTCTTAGACCATAAACACAAAATAATTTAAACTAAAGCATATGGAACATTGTCACAGGCGTTAAAACAACCTACAGTTACATGGATGCTTAGTAATTAGGATTAACTTTATAAAATTCATTTCTCGCACTTTGCTTGGGAGTTTGTTGCTATGGAAACAGTTACTAATTGTATGAAGTGTTGTGGATCGTTGCATTTCCATTGTTTCGCGTTTGAAATTAATCGATCATTAAATGTAATAATAATAATAGATATTATATTAAAAGCACATAGAATCAAAATCTTCACTTTAATCGCAATTTGCTTCCAAAGAGAAATAGGGATGTTGTAGTCGGACAGAACGAAACTGCCAGGCGAAATATGCAGGTAGACTACAAAACTAATTAATAACATTATTCATTAGGTTATTATAATTCTTATTTATTTACATCAATAAGATAGGCTCCTTCACTCCGCTCACCGTGTATACGGTTTGGTTTATAAATAAGATCAATGTTATAAATTGTAACTTGTAATTATTTTTTAATTATTAACCAAACAATTTCAAAGAACTAAATAATTTTGATAAAATTTGTAACGTGTTAAGTTGGTCATAGAAGGTTTGGGAACCCTGACAAAAAAAGCATTTTTAACTAAAACGGTCCGCAGATCTAACAATCACGCATAATTTTACTTATTACGAATAAAACACATTTATTTATATCTTCATTTTGACATGATGTTAAATGATGTCGCCACGCCGCTCTTTTAGACTCACATTCGGGTCGCAAGTGCGTTGCCGGCCTTATAAGAATTAGTACGCTCTTCTTTTAGGATCCTAAGTCGATAATAAATAGTTTATATTTTAAAAATAACTACGATAGAACTTAGAACACAGTTTAGTTTTCCTTCAAAAGAAATATTTATCTAAACTTTTACTATGTTTATATGTATATTCATTGGTTTAAAAAAAATGTTGATACAAGTTAACAGTGTAAGTGTACACCGAGATATAGAGCCATAGAACGAGAATTTTTGGTCAGATAAAATTCTACGTTTATCATACACCTCAATTAACATTCTGGTGTAAACAAAATAATTATTCATGTAACTGATGTATAATCCAGAGCACAAAAAAGCTGGCCTTGTAAAATATTTACATGTCGTTTGCCCTTTCCGTCTGTTAGGGCTACCACTTAATCGGAATTTGTTATTGTTTAGTACAGTATAGAAACTTATATAATATTAAAACTCGTCTTAAAAACGAGTCGTTAGGTCTAAAGTAAGTCGGCGAAGGTAGACCAAACTTGTATCTTGTGAGCTATACGCTTATAACCCCGTCCCGTGGAACATTTTAACAAGCCATTTTATATAAATATTTTTTTGATTAGTTTATATTCAATCTACATATCACAGGCACGCCTGATCACCTCCTATATAAAAGGTCAATTACCATTGTAGCAGACGCATATACATGTATAATGCTTGATGAGCTGGTTAGAGACTTGCTATTTAGCTAAATTGCTGTTAAAACAGAAGCGAATTCCAGTCCAAGCAAATACGATATGTTAATTGAAGTCAAACTTTCACTTTGAGCATGTAAGCACAATGTTATTTAAGGATTACATAAATTTATTCACGGTTTAGACAATCCTTTAAAATTAAACCCTACCTTCTAATGGTAGGTGGTAGTTTGGTCAAAAATACATACGTTAGTAGCAACACACTTCATAATGTAATTAAAATAACTATAATTTGTTAAATACTTTAAAATGTTAAAAAAACTGTCTAATTAAACATATATAGGAAATAAATCAATATGGACCGAGATATATATTGACTAAAGTAATAATACCGCAACCTTTATTGACTTTGCGACAGCCCTACAAAGTTTAATATATTCAAAGCTTGTAGACGTCGAAAATTGTTTGTGTAAAAATGTTTACAAAATTTGCGTGTCCTTTTTACGCATTCGTAATATTGAGGCTTTGTAAAATAGTTATTAAGTCGCTTTAATGAAACCAATGTGAAAAATTCAGTAAAAT